TTATTTTTTAAACATTCTATGTTAATAAAGAAATAATTGAAACTCTTTAAACTTTAGGAAGTATCTTTTTTTAGGCATGAAATCAATTTCTGGTAAACTTCTGAATATTTACTGAATATAAGCTTGTTACGATTAAACAAGAATCTGAACAATGACAAACACATTGTCAATGACAATTCAAGAATCTTTTATGTTCTGAGCACCCTACACTCAGAAAGACAAAAAAGTCGATGCTGAGGATTTCCATGTCAATTTTTTTCTGAAATGATGGCGATAAGACAAAAATTTTGAAAAAGAATAATTGAAAAATATAAATAATTGAACTTTCAATCAATTGAAACTTCAGCGTAATTTGGTCCTGAATTTTCTGTTTTCATTGAAAATTCAATTGAGTCTGGAATTTTTCGTATTTCTGGTGCTCAAAAATTCAGAATTTCATCAAATTTTCAATAAAATTGGCAATTCTATAACTATTCGAGAATTATTACTAAACTACTATTGAAATTTTAATTTTTTTCAACAGTGTACGGAAAAAATCTCGTAATAAATTCTCCGGAACCTCTTTATTTCGAAGTTATTACCAGAATCACGCGCTCATTATTATTATTCCTGTTTTTTAAATGAATTTTCCAATTCTAATTTGAAAAATGTAGTACTCATTCAAGAAAGTTGATGCGTATCCATTTGCATTGAAAATTACTACATACCTTCCACTCATCTATTGCGGACATTTGTAGAATATGCAATGGCTAATTATGAATATTTGTTTAACGGGAAAGGATAATTATTCGTGCTGGAGTTGATTGGTTCACTGAAAAAAAGTACAGTGAACTTATGCAATGATGCAGATTTAGTGGCTAGATGGGTCAGCACCTGACCCATGAATTCACCGAACAAGACAGAAGACGAGTATTTATAGACAACTCGCGTTTGTCTCCTCGCAATTATACCGTTAGAACCGGAAACACTCGATACCTCTGTCGAGTCATAGAATTTTACAGCAAAGAGCCTAGCTCTCGAAATTGTTGACAGTAGAATTTTTCTGTTGATTTGTGGTCTTTTCGGAGGTAATTTGTGGCATCATTTCTATGAAAATTGTAGACACTCGAACAGAGAATTAGATATACCAAAACAATTCGATCTTTCTCATCTTTCTGTCGATGACGATGTCTAGATGATTTCAGACAAAAATATTAAAAGAACTATACACAGAGAAAGGACGTATTTCAACAATTATTTTTTCATTTCTCGTCAAAAACGATCGGACACACATTTATATTCGGAAATGTTTGACATCTGAATATTTCATCGTTTTTCGCTTTTAGCTTTTTTTTTAATGTTCATAGCACTTCAAAGAATAAAGTTAAGCGTCCGTTTTACTTTATTCGCAATAGATTATGAATTAATGAATTTTGAATTCCATAAATTTTACTCTACTCTAGAGACGCGAAAAATTTATTGAATTCAAAATTTATTTATTCATGATTTACTGCGAATAAAATAGAGCGGATGCTTAACTTTATTGTTTGGAGTGTAACGAACATTTAAAAAAAACTAAAATCGTATAAAAACTACGGCGCAAGGAGAATTTCACGCATGAAAAAATTCAATAGAAAACCTAATAAATTTTAATAAAATAAATAAAACTAATAAAACTACAGGAATTCCATGGGTTTTCTATAGGATTGAAAAATTCTATTCGTTTTTTGCGCGGATTCTACTGGATATTCGATAAGAAAAAGCCAATAGATTTCGAATTTCTGTTTGAATTTTTCTCTTGAGATGTTGTCTATAAGAATGCTTGGGCATCAATTTTCCAAGTTTTTTCCACTCGGATTCTGAAATGCAAAATAAAACAAAATCCAGCGGAAAAAAATTGGAAAATTTGTGTTTAATAATTTTAATGGAAAAAATCAAGAGAAAAATTCGAACAGAAATTCGAAATGTATTGACTTTTTCGTATCGAATATCTAATAGAATCAGCGCAAAAAACAAATAGAATTTTTCAATAGAATTCCAATAGGAATCCTATAAAAATCCCATAGAATTCCTATAAAATTTTCTAGCGAATTCGCTAGGTTTTTTATTGAATTTTTTCATGCGTGTTTGCAATGAAAAACGTTGAAATATTCAGATCTCAAACCTTTCCGAATATAAATACATAATCAAGTACTAGAAGTCAAAAGTGTCACGGAAATTTCTCAGGCGCTTAAGTATTCGATCCGTATCGATTCCACACTCACACCAGTAATTTTTTCGAGGAAAGAGAGTTAAATGAGCCGGAGAAAAAAAAATATTGGTCGATGAAAAATGGGGCACATGACGAATAAACCTGGTTCCGGAGGTTGAGGCGTCGAAACGACACTCAACGACTGCGTTCGAAAATGTTCTTGAGTAAACATGCGCATCGAAATGAATACGCAATGGCGTGCAAGTTGGAATCATTTCCGTTTGATAAATCGCTGCCAATATTATGCTGTGTAATTTCGCAGACAATTTTCTTCCATCGATTTGTTGAAATGTCGATGTAATGAATAATTTCATCACCTCATTATGCAGAAGGTAAACTTCGCAAATTCGTATTGATAATAGGAGCAATCATTTTCCTGATTTTTTTATGCTTCCAATTTTTGGAGAAATTTCTCTTCATAATTTTGCAAATGCCTCGGGGATTGGCAGTCTTAGATTAGAAGCTTTAGACTTTTTTGTGGATATATCGTTCTCATTTAACTCGGTAGTTCCTCAATTTCTTTAGAAACCCAGAGAATTTGCTAGAATTATCTAGATAACCGGAGACTTCTCTCGAACTTTTTGAAAAATTGAAGCATTTTTTAGAATTTCCTAGAAACCGGAGAATTTTCTCGACTTTTTTAGAAAATTGAAGTGTCTTAGAATTTTTGAGAAAAGCGGGGAATTTTCTAAAAAATTTTAGAAAACCGCAGAATTTTTGCGAATTTTCTAGAAAACCGAACATACGTAGGGTAAACTGCGCAGTAGATGGATGCATAAGAAAAGCGCCCAGTAGATGAACGTTTGCTTTTTTAGTAATTGAAAAAAAGATTAATCGAAAAAAAATCGCCATTCAGGGGTTAAGGGTGGCAAGTGAATTTGGCGATGACCTTGAAAATTGACATTCACCAACAAAGTTATAATTTGTTAAATTAATAGTATTAGACAGATGGTGAACATCGGTGACAATTTTAAAATTTTCGAACTTATGGATATCGAGAAATTAAATAAACAAAATCAGTCTTATACACGGCGTCTTATGGAGTTTTGATTAAATTGAACGTTTCAACCCCCTAGGAATTCAAGAAAAATTTGAAAAAATTTGAAGATATGGGGAATGATGTGTTCAATGTGATGGCGACAAAAAACAATGGGGTACCGGGGTGAATAAGAGAGATATTTCAACCCGCCGTACCCATTTGATCCCATGCTTTCTCGAGGTTCGTCACGCGAAATAGAGGATTTTCCGCATTTATTTTCTCGATGTCTAGTTCCGGTTGCGGGTTTGAAATTTCGTCGGATGGATGAATACATATTTCTCCAATGATGGAGGGAAAGAAAAAATTTTTTTTGAATCTTTTTTCAAATTCACTTGGCACCCTTAAGAATCACAACAGTTGATGATAATTCAAAGCAGCAATCCAACATTTTTTTGCGTAATTTCCTATCCAAAAGTAGCTCGTCCATCTATACGACAGTGTCCATCTACTGGGTAGCGTACCCTACACACACTTTTTGAAAACATCACATCTCCACGGTTCATGACATTCTGCATAATTTCGTTATCAATTATAATTTTTGAGGGCTCAACTCCACGTATGAAAAAATTCAATAGAAAACCTAGCCAATTCGCTAGAAAATTCTATTGGAATTCTATAGGAATTCTGTGGATTTTCTATACGATTTCTATTGGAATTCTATTGACAAATTCTATTTGTTTTTTTGCGCTGATTCTATTGGATATTCGATGAGAAAAAGTCAATAGATTTCGAATTTCTGTTTTAATTTTTCTCTTGATATTTTTCCTATAAGAATGCTTGGGAATCAATTTTCTAAGTTTTTTCCACTCGGATTCTGCAATGCAAAACAAAACAAAATCCAGCAGAAAAAACTTGGAAAATTTGTATCCAATAATTCTAATAGAAGAAATCTAAGAGAAAAATTCAAACAGAAATTCGAATTCTATTGACTTTTTCTTATCAAATATCCAATAGAATCAACAAAAAAAAAACAAATAGAATTTTTCAACAAAATTCCAATAGAAATGCTGTAGAAACCTCATAGAATTCCTATAGAATTCAAATAGAATTTTCTAGCGAATTCGCTAGGTTTTCTATAGAAGTTTTTCATGCGTGTCTATATTATCTTAAGGCCAGGGTGGATTATTTTTCGAACATCTTCTTGGTTTTTTCTTATTCTGATAATCTAAAATGATCTCCAATTGTTATTCAGTTTTATATAGCCCTGGATTCTCCAAAAATTATGATTGTACAATCAAAAAAACGTTGAAAAAGAGCAGAACGTTTTCAAAGAGCGTTTTTGAATAATATTGGGAAATAAATCCAATAGGGAGGAAATTGCAAATTAATAATTTGATGTATCTAATGGCTGTTAGGTCGTCATTTGTCGCAGCAGTCAATGGCTGCCAGATCGTTAATTACCATGATAAATTATCCATTCACTATTTCCTCTCTATCGACCTTATTTCTTAATCTTTATTAAAAACGCTCTTTGAAAATGTTCAGTTTTTTTCTCTACTTTTTTTATTGTACAATCATAATTGTTAGGGACTCCTAACGTGGTGCACATCCAATGGAAATTGTGATATTTTTTACATTATGAAGATGGAAAAACAATCGAGATGACGTTCGAAAGATAATTCAACCGGGCCTCAAACCGTTTTACCACTTCGCTACTGAAATCTTCCATTCGGAAGCCGAAACGAGTTAAAAACGATAGAACAACAATGATTTTTGCTTTAAAAAACACAGGGTTTGAACGGTGATTTGGGCGCCCGGGAGGTGCTGATTGGCGAACTTCGCGAGGCGGCTGAGCCCCTGCGGGAGAGCTGCGCTCCGGAGGTCGGCGAAAGGGTAGACGCTGCGGTGAATGAAGCCATTCAAGCTTGGGAAGATACCAGGGCTGAACTTAATGCCCTCTGCACAAAGTATCAACGCGCCGTGAGACTCTGGGAGCAATATAGGGAGGCCAGTGCTGCTGTAAAATCTTTTGTGGACACGCAAATGGGAAGTGTCACCAATTTACCACCAGAAGAGGCACGCAAACAAGTCAAGGTAAATATAAATGATGATTCGATTGGGATAATTCCTCTGAGAATATTTGCCGGAGGAAAATATTTTTTGGGGATTGAAATGAATTTTTTTTAGCTTTTCGTTTCCCTGTTCTCTTCACTTTGCACGCGCTTATTATAACTTTGTTTATGTTCAACGGATTCGTGAGCTGGGGTGAGTCATTGATGGATTTGGTTGGTATGAAAGGAAAACTGGAGGATATTTCAATCACTGACCATTCATACTTTGAATGAATAGTCGAAGTTATCTCGAGTGTAACCGCTATTATTTGTTTTCTTATCTCTGAGTGATAAAAAATGGCTGTTTTCATCTTTCTTCAGAGGTTTCTGTCGAGATATTGCAATCTGCAGTTGTGAAAATATCAAAGGAGATGAATAAGAGTGAAGTCGGAGACTGAGTTGACAATGAGTCAACTAAAATATGGAAGCATTGATAATGAGGAGATTAGCTGAGAAGGGGAGCGGTTCAGGACAAAAGTCATAGAGACTTTCCTTGTGATAAGGTTTAGCTATGGGAAAGGTCTTTTGACGCTTTTTTTACTGGAATTAACGATGATTTGGATGATTGAACTAGTGCAGGATACACACGCATGAACAAATTCATTTGAAAACCTAGCGAATTCGCTAGAACATTGGATTTGGAATTCTATAGGAATTCCATGGGGCTTCCATAGGGGAGAGTGGGGCAAAATGAAACACAGGGGCAAAATGAAACAGTCAAAAAAACAACTGTTTGACGTAATTCAAGAAAAAAAAAATTTCATTAAATTTTTTTTTATTAGCTTTTTTTTATTCTTGGTAGTAGTGGTGAGCATAATGATTTTCCATTCAGTAGAATGGGAAATTATTGAGAAGTTTTGACGGGCGAAGATTTTGTCAATGGATTAATTGAAAAGAAAATTAAACAGCAAAATCCAGAGCAAGGCCCAAGGGGAGACCCAGAGGGGGAAAAAGGAAAATGTGATGGTGAATTTCAATCGAATAATCCATTGGCAAAATCTTCGCCCATTAAACCTTCTCAATAATTTTTTATTCTACTGAATGGAAAATTATTATTCTCATCAGTACTCCCGAGAATAGAAAAAAGTCGACAAAAAAAATATTTGATATAAAAAATTTTTTTGCGTGATTTGAGTCAAACAGTCATTTTTTTGACTGTTTCTTTTTGCCCCATTGTTTTATTTTACCGCGCTGTTTCATTTTGCCCCACTCTCCCCTAGGATTTCTATTAGAATTCTATTGAAAAATTCTACTCGTTTTTGCGCAAATTCTATTGTATATTTGATAGGAAGAAATCAATATATTTTGAATTTCTGTTCGAATTTTTCTCTTGGGATTGTTTCTATCAGAATTACTGGGCACAAATTATCCGAGTTTTTTCCGCTGGATTTTGCTTTGTTATGCATTACAGAATCCGAGTGGAAAAAAACTTGGAAAATTGATGCCCAAACATTCTTATAGAAAAAATCTCAAGAGAAAAATTCAAACAGAAATTCGAAATCCATTGACTTTTTCGAATCAAATATCCAATAGCATCAGCGTAAAAAACAAATATAATTGTAATAGAATTTTCTAGCGAATTCGCTAGGTTTTCGATTGAATTTTTTTATAAGTGCAAATGTTGAAAATTATCCTGCAAGGATGAAAATTCTGGTGCAAGGGGCATTTCAAAGCCAAAAAGACGAAAAACCATGTCGTTTCTTCACGCACGGGGCAAAATGGGTTGAGTCCACAATTTTTCTGATTTTTTAGGTACCCGATGATATGTCAAGAATCGCTCGATGGCTATTTTCATTAATCGAACACATTCAATTTTCGTCTCAAAATTGAATGTTGCAAATTTTAAAAAAAAACCAAAAACATTGATAACTGAGGGAGTTATGATTTTTGACAGCCGTTTTTAGTTTTCATGTGACTGAATTAAAAAAAATGACAATAGATAATCCTATTTTCCCTCGGAAATTTCCTGACTGAAAAAAAGAAATTTTTCAAAATTTTTAATCGGAATTTTTACCATGAATAATAAAAAAAGCTCATTATATTTTACTGAAAAGAATTATTATTATTTCAAATAATTGATTTTTCAGTTTTATAATTATTACATTTCATTATTATTACTATTATTATTATTCTTATTAATATTATCATTACAGGTATATATGTATACTACCATGTATAGGGGCGGGTGGGGTAAACCGGACAATTTTGACTTTTTTTAAAATATCCACGACGAGTTGAATTGTTCATGAAATGGAATAATTTTATTTTTCAGTTGAAAAACAATGATTCCTCTTTGTGATGAGCTTAGACTGAGCTCGATTTTTAAATCTGTTTCTGCACTGGGAAAAAAAATTACTTTTGCCAAGGAATCATTTTTTTGGGAGAAGAATTTATTTTTTTAGGAGCTTATTTCTCTAGGCCAGTCATTCCCAGGTGGTCCATGTACATCTCCAAATAATACAATTATGTGGAATAATGAGATGATTATGCTACATATGACCTTAAATGAACACGCTTCATTATTTTTCAATTTTGTCAAATTCGAGATTTTCTAACGTATAATAATTTGGAATAATTTTGAAGGTTAATAATTGTCAATGGAGTTCATTCAAGGTCATATGTAATATAATCATTCCATAATTCAACATAATTATAATATTTAGAGGTGGACTTGGACTCCTTGATAATGACTGGCCTGGAGATATACGCTCTTAAAAGAATAAATTCTTCTCCCAAGAAAATGATTCCTTGGCAAAAGTAATTTTTTTTCTCAGTCTGCGCTATGAATATTTTTAAAAAAGTCAAAAGTGCCCATTTTACCCTACCCTCCCCTGCATGTATACGTAATAAAAAATAAAAAATAAATGAGTTTTAATGGTGCGCAATGTGACGGCCGCACGACCCGTCAAACCCAACACTGCTAAAACCCCCGAAACCTCCGAGATGCGTCAGATGGATCACGAACTCGCGCCCTCCCCCTATTCAACTCCACGTGGGGATTGCAGGAGTCAGCGACTCCGTGCTGGCACCGGTGGTGGGACTCACCCCCTCGCCTGTGCCACAGTTTCAACGAGGGTGCGGCGTTACTTCACTCGTCCAAGCACCGAAACCTCCCCTCTCCCGTCTCCTTTATCTCTTTATCTCACTCGCTGACGCAGAAAACGTCGAGGGGGGACTCATCGATCCCTCGCTCCCAGACGCCAGTCGACGGTCCACGGCCATACGCGCAGCATTCATTCACTTCCAAGTGCTTATATATTTTTATGTCTGAAAATAGTTTCGAAATTTTCCGGAAAAAAATTGCCACCGGTGAACAGAATCCCACGACCTAATTGGTGATTAATTAGCAATCGCAGTGGTGGGGGTGGGTTTTTAGGGGATGATTTTAGGGGATTAGTGATTGAAAAAAAATTATGAAATGCAGAGAAGTCATTGGATTTTTTTTTATTAATTCTGATGATTCAGAGGAATTATTGAGGAAATTGATCGAGTGAATGGATCAATTAGTCATGAATAGTTCATTTGTAAGCACGTGTCAGTTGTGAAATGTACAGTGACCAACTGAGTCGGCGTGAGTCCGGTGTTTTTGGAACATGTGCGTAATAGCTGGGAGATTGAGACGGTCAAACTCACCGGCAAAGTACAGATTCTTCAAGTGCTTGATCTATTTAAATTGTTTGGATAATAATTTGTGAGGGATATCTGTCAGTTGCGACGATGTGTACACCAGAGGAATTGAAGGTAGTGAATTTATTGCGTCGTCTTAATTTACTCGAAAAGATTTTAACGCTGATTTCGATGGAGATTTTGTTTTCTTTCACGTTTGGAGGCCGGTGGGGATTTATTTATAAGTAAAAATAGTCGGGAATTATTTGGGTCAGACTTGAGGTATGTTTTCCACTGGAATCGACCGCTAAATTGTCCGATTGCCAAAAAAAATATGTTTAAAATACTTGGAGGGAGGATTTTTTGCGATTTCTTGCGGGTTCTGAAGCCGATAAACCTCGTAATCTTATTAAAACGCGCGGTCTTGGGTTCAGGAAGATAATGTTGGATTTGTATGGTTTAGGGGGAGTTCGAGATATATGGGGAGAGAAATTGATTCACTTATTATTTACGCTTGTGTCAAATATTGAATTATCTCCAAGATAACACACACGAAAAAATTTAATAGAAAAACGTGGCGAATTCTCTAAACAATTGTATTTAACTTTCTATTAGTAAACATACGTGAGAATTTAACAAATTGGTTCAGTATTTATTTTATTCGAAATAATTCTCATTTAAACTGTTCATTCTTTCAAAAACGGAGTATAATAATGTTGTAAACACTAGGGGAGCATGGGGCAAAATGAAACACGGGGCAAAATGAAACAGTGGGAAAATCTCGTCATCTAAAGGAGATAGGACATTTTTGAAAAGGACCTTTTTTGTAGCTTGTAAAATTCTCTACAAAAAAGGTTTTCATGAAAATCCTCCTATCTCCCTTAGATCACAAGATTTTCTTGCTGTTTCATTTTGCCCCACCGTCCCCTACATATTGTATTGATTGTGTATGTTTTTAGAGCTGTAAAGCTTTACTTGAAATTTATATAAATTTGAATATGTTAACTTATAATTAAATTCCTTTCTCTATTATCAAATTATTATTAAATTATTATTATTATTATCTTTATTATTATTATTATTATTATTATTATTATTATTATTATTATTATTATTATTATTAAATTTCTCCCCTTAAGAGCGAGCTGGTAATCCGAACATTGTGGGTTCAATTTCTCAACATCAATTTCTCTACTTTTTTCACGGACTTCGTTTCTTATTAGAAAATTCATGCAAAAAACTTTGAATCTTCCATCTGTATTCCTATAGCTATTTATGGTTTTCAAGTGTTTCATATAGATCAAAACATTTACATACAGATAAAAAAAAATGTAAGCATTATACTAAAAAATTACATTCAATTAAAAATGTTGAAAAAGTTAAATGATAAAATGATAGATAGATAAATAGATCTAGTCTGAACTGAATAAGTTGTCGAGAACATCAGAAATCTATTGATTGTTTTCCACACAATTTTCTCTTGAAGAATACCCGCAGAAAAAAGGAATTTAAATAGAATCAAAAGCAAGGATAATTTTCAATGAAAATCCAATAGAAATTTACTACAATGTTTCAGCGAATGTGGTAGATTTGCTTGTAGAATATTTTTGCATGTTTACGAATGTTAAAAAGGATTTTAACGAAAACACACGAATCGACTTCTCCTAATATAAAACAGGAGTATTTCAATTTTCTTTTTAAATCACGGGTATCTCAAAATTCATGTGAAAGCTTGTTGTTGACATTAATTCCTAAGTCTCATGGAGCTCGCAAATCATTTTATTTCTCTTCGAATGTGAAGTATTTCATGTTATATGTACTTTTTGATGCATTCACACCATTTATACAGCTGTCAAGAGAAGGAAAATGTGAGATTTCAGACGATTTTTCATATGAATTGTGAGATACCCTAGTCTCAACATGAATTTGGAGATACTCTTGTTTTATGAGGAAACGTCGACATACAAACGTGTCTTCGAAATCGTGTTAGGATGATTCCAGGCAGGGATAGCCAAATTTGTAATATTTTATTACGATTACTTTTGCAGCCCTTAATTAGATAACAGCAGTCTTGAAATTTTTTGAGTACTTAAGGAGAGACTATTATGAGTTTTAAAAGTCGTATGTTATCGGAGTGAGATTTTTCATACGTAGAAGACCGATTATATAGATTTGAAAACGAATAATTAGTGCAAGAAAATTTTTTTTTATTGTTCGTTTGCCCGAAAACGCTTAAAATACTAAAAACAGTCCAGGGCCTCCAATTATTGAGCTACAACAGATTTTTTTTTCAAAATTTTCGGAAAAATGTGTGGAACAACAATTACGAGCCAGTTTTTTGGAATTCGACTCCTAGACAACTGATTTCGGTTTTTTTCATGTAAAAAAATTCACTAGTTGTGTAAAAAAAATACAAAAAAGCAAATTTAGCCATGTAAGAGGCGAATTAAAAAAAATAGCTCGTAATTGTTATTCTACATATTTTTCCATGAATTTTGAAAAAAAAATCCTTCGTAGCTCAAACATTGGAGGCCCTGGACTTTTTTTGGCATTTTAAGCGTTTTCGGGCAAACGAACAATAAAAAAATTTTTTTTTTGCACTAATTATTCGTTTTCAGATCTATATAATCAATCTTCAACGTATGAAAAGTCTCACTCCAATAAGCCATGACTTTCAAAATTCATAGTAGTCTCCCCTTAAGTATCATCAATTCAAATATTCAAATTTTCAACTATTTTATCAGTCAATAATTTGAGGTAGGAAGACTGACAATTACTTGTGTAATCGAAAATCCCCTTTCAAGAAATTTGAATCATTGACTTAGTAGTGAATTTACAGTTTCATATTAACAAATTTGAAATATATCATTATTCGTAAAAAATCAGATTATCAATATTATATTATTTGAAAAATTGAATCAACATATTTTAAACCTTCAATAATGTAAAAGTCAAATCCTTGTAATATTATAAAAATTTAATATTGATGGAGATCCCAGATTCCAGGGGTCATGAAACATCGACAAATCGTGGAAATTGCACTTTTAATTTTCTGAGTAATTACAACAGCTTTCTCGAATAAAAAATTAGAACAATTAATACCCTAATAAACAATTGGGCACCCTGAAAATTTCAAATTTTTCAAAATTTCATGCGGAAGTATTCAAACAGTTTAACATTCAGTGGATGGAATTAGAAAGGAATTAGGAGGGAGAAACGCACACGTTTGGCGATGAATTATACCCCATAGGCAGACGGTACAGAGAAATTCCGTGAGATCTAAAAATAACAACTCCGAAATTCACCATTGAGGCGAAATTATGCCTGTTTATTTCTTTGTTTCCAATTATTTTTTCTTTGCTCGCTAGGTCTGCGAGGAAACCCTCGCTGAGCATAAAGAAAGACTGGCCGAGTTGAGGGGTCTGGTGGCACAAATTGCCTCTGACGTTGGTCTGGATGCTGATGGACCATTGCATTGTGAAGTTGAGGCGCTGGGGAGGAGGCTGGAGGATGTCAGGGAGACACTGTCTACTCTGGCTGACACTGCTGATGCTAGGGCGCTCAATAAGGAACTCGCACGTGGAGATTTGTGCCAGACGAAGAATTTCTTGGATTCCGTCCAACAGGTAACATTCTTGAAATTATGGAACAATTGGGTTGAGAGAGAGAGAGAGAGAATTACACTTATTATTTTGAAAAAATTAATCACAATTATTTTTTTTTACTGAAAAAATGGTCTATATAAATTCCCTTCTTTAATGTAAATATTAATGCTGTAAGAAGGATGGCGGAGCTCAATATGTACCAGAAATTTGAAATGAAAAAATGGCTAGGAGCTGGATAACTCAGGTGGGAGAATACCCGATGCATAATCGAAAGGTCCCGGGTTTAAATCCCGGTCTGGACTATCCATTTTTTTCATTACAAATTTTCTGGTTATTCATATTGAGAATAATCCCGGTCCCCCTCCTACCTCATCCAAATCCCATTCAATTATTTCCTATGACGTCACGAAAATGTGGAACGCTATATAAATTCCCTTCTTTAATATAAAAAAAATCAATTGCAATTATGATTTTTTTTCTTTTTTTTCTTGTTTCCGAAATATAAAAAAAATTAATTGCAATTATGATTTTTTTTTATATCTCGGAAACAAGTGGGTTCAAGAGGAAAATGATTTACACTGAGAGAAATTTCTGCTCTGACAATAAAAATATAATAATTTGGCAATTTTCTCCATTTATAGAATATAAAAAATGTTTGTCTACAATAATTTGTCTCAAACATTTTGTTTTCTTTACAACAATTACTCATCTTATCAAAATAACGTCTGGAAAATTAGGTACTCTAATGGGTACTCTCATAAATGATATGTAATACTTTAATATTTGGATGATATTATTATTCACAAAATTTAATTTATTTTTCAATAATCAATGTGGACGATTATCCTTTACACGAAATTACGCGCTTTTAGGCCCGGTTCCACCAAGCCCTGTTATCCAAATAAATCCCAGGGTCTATTATATCGTAGGGGTCATAATTTTTCAATACTTGACCCGAAGAATAATTTTTTATCTATCCTGTAGCCCCATTTGAATTAACACTGATCCTCTCAAGCTTGAAAAACCTTGCATCACAAGGTTAAATAACCTTGGGATTAAATTTGATTTTTTGTTGCTGGGATAAATTTGAGATACTCTCCCGGGTAAAATAATCCATCGAGCATCCAAATTTACTTTTTTTATCTGACGTTTTCGTTACCCGGAGCTGGTGCACCCGGGCCTTAATATATAAATATTATTTGCAAGTACAATATATAATTTTATCTTTATAGCAACGTAACCAGGACAAAACATTATTCCAATTAATAAACGATACAATTACTCAAAGCTTCAAATGACAAAGAAAAGTAATTGATTGACCGGTCGTCAGAGGTTGAGACGCAAGTGAGCGAGTTATCTCGCGCGAGGTGAGAAATAACTCGTCGAATCACAAGCGACACATTTCGTCAATTTATAATGAGAATGGGTCATGAAATAATTCTTAAACGCAGTGAATTTACTTTTGATTGTCTTTCTTTATTAATATGGCACGAGGAAGAAACGTCTGTACTCTATGAACTGCTCCAGCAGACTAAATACCGGTCACAAAGACCAAAAAGAATATCGTCACTGTGACGTTTTGAGTTTTACCCGGAGGTAAAACTCAGTGAATATTTCTTTCCTTCATACTATTACACTGTCTACTGTGCCTTGCACTTTGCACTATTTTATTCCTATACTGTAATCCGCTGTATGGTCACTTAAACCTCGGCTAACTGGGCGGTGAGCTCACGANGACGTTTTGAGTTTTACCCGGAGGTAAAACTCAGTGAATATTTCTTTCCTTCATACTATTACACTGTCTACTGTGCCTTGCACTTTGCACTATTTTATTCCTATACTGTAATCCGCTGTATGGTCACTTAAACCTCGGCTAACTGGGCGGTGAGCTCACGAGGGATTCGCTCACTCGGAGGGATGTTAGGAAAAGTATGAAGGGATAAGTCCTCAATAACCACTCGCGTATTTAATCGGTAAAAGGATGGTATATTATTCGTTGATTAAAATACACGACTCGGTTTATTTTGGGTTGGTATAACGCGTTGCTAATATGTCTCGACTTGACTTGGGACTTCGACTCGATTTCTTGGCTGAAGGCCTGAGCTAGAGGTCCGCTCGACTCGGCTCCTGATTGTACTCTGGTGCTTCCAGAGTCCTCAAAACTTGGCAAAGCCCCAATTCGCTGAGCTAAGCAGTCTCACGGTTTTCTCCACTAACACTGTCTCGTGTCATCATTGACAGAGACTCAAGCAGTCAAACAGTTCATCGTTCTGAACTAAACTCCTGAAAAACCATGAGACTGCTTACCACGGTGTCCAAATGACACCGTAGGATTGCTGACCAGTGTCTGGATGACAGGAAAGAGAATAGTATTTTCCCGGCCTGTTGTGATGGGGTTTCTTACTCGTGTGGCGTTGGCCTCCGAGCCGTAGGCGAGGACTGGCCAACCACACGAGTAAAAAAAACCCATCGCAACAGCCCAGGAACAATATTTTTCTGTAGTGATTTTCAAGTTTTCGAGTTTGGGAAGTATGTAATACCAATTCCCAGACGAGAAATCGTGAGAAGCAGTACAGAAAATCATATTTCTCGTTCCCACCATCCAGCATTATATTATTATTTTATATAATTACTAACTAAATCGACGTATTGATCGATGCCAATACGTCACATCACTTATCGACAAAGAACTCTCAGTTCTATCTCCCCATAGAGTTATTGTTTATGTTTATATTAACTCTCAGGCACTCTCTACGTCGATTCGTTTTTTGTACGCACAATCTCATCAAATAAGGTCTCAGTAAAGAGCTATATAATCCAATAATTTACTAAATTATTCCAATATTTTCGGGATCGATTGGCGCGGGATATTCGAATAACTTCAACTCATTACAGATAATAATGAGTTGAAATCTTTTATGAAATATGTCGAGGGTAAAGTGTGCTTGGCACAGCTCAATCATCCTTCGTACTGGGTACAAATTCCCTCATACATATATTTTAATTGTAGTTTCGAAACAATTTGTTGTGTCAAGGTCGTTGTAAGGGGCTGAGCCCCAAAAATTCAACCCCACCCCACCCCCTGATCCGGCGCCAATTTACACAGGTCACGAAACACCTCAAAGTGGCTTCTCCCTTGAATGAGTATTCGCACCCCCTTCGTATTTACTCCACGTGTTTGCCCACACACCCTGAGAGAAACTTTTCAAGTCGAGTGAGCCACAGTTGTTTCCTCCAGAGTTTCTGAGCCTAGGATTTCAACTCGTACGTACAATTCACTAGTCGATTTTACTGATAAACTCAACGATTAAATTTAAATGCACGTGAAACAATTCAACTTTCGTATGTTCCGGTGAATGTGTATGCATTTCCTGGGTGGGTTAAATCGACGAAACAATTTTCTTACTCCGTCCATGGAACCATCGATCGTAACTCGATCGTGAAGAATTTTGAAATGAGAAAATTGATTTGAAATTTGGATTTTGAAAGCGAAGAAATAAAGGGACATCAGCCGAGTTGATTTTTCCATTCTGTTGAATTATTACATTATATTAATCCGATAAAATTTTTTCATCTCCGATTTTTATTCTTTGCTATTTTTTAATGTATTCTATCAAAATTGTGAGGATAGAAATTGAGTTGATGGGTATTCTTTCATTATTTGAAAAAATATATCAATTTTAAAACTTTCCGGAGACATTGAAAAATCGGAATTTTTATTTTCTTGCGAATCGATCATCATCTCAACAAAAAGTATCAATACTATCCTTATTATTTATCATAAATATCTCTTCATTTGAAAATGAGAAAAACTGCTCCCACAATTTGTATACTACAATGGGAATAGAATCCAATAATTTTAATTTAATCTAACCGCAAAGAAAAATTGGAAAGAAAACAATAAAATAAATTAGTACAATATAATATAATCTAGCGACGGGCGCGAAGCGCCTGTTCGCTATGAACAGTGATTTCAGTAAAAAATATTGAGAAGCTTTTTTTGTTTTTTACATCGCGTTCAAAGATTGACTTGTTTTATGTATTTATTTTGATCACAAAAAAAAACACTTTTTATTGATCTTTAACATAATTCCTCTTCATTCAATGTTGCAACTTGTAAATTGAGGAAAAAATATGTAATAAGAATAAGAATGGATAAAATTAAAGTAATCTAATTGTGACGACGTAAATGAAAATCAAATTTTTTGTCATTTCCTCATCCTCTGATATGAAAAAATCGATTTCTTGTGGCAAGAAATTGTCACTTTACCATGAAATTTTCATGTTCAAGTCATGAACACTTCACCGAAATCTGTCATTGTCTGACACATTATCCGGACTTCTTATCCCAAGAAATTTATCCTCAAGAGATGAGATATTTGGCGCAAGAAATTAGTTTTGTAATATTACGACGACATTTCTCTCAGTGTTCGCTAGTTCAATAGAAATCCATTAGAATTTTTCTGTAAAAGGCGTAAAGCCATACAGTGGGAACAATAAATTCATTCATTCCGCTAGAATTTTCCAACGAATTCGCAAGGTTGTTCTGTTACATTTTCTCATCTCCCCGAGAAATTCCAACTCCCCTCCCGTAATCCCCCCGAATATTCTTTTTTCACAACAAAACCATCAACTTCCAGAGCCTAACGACGATCCCCCAAGGGGAATCAAAAGAGCAACTGAACCTCCTCCGTAAACACCTCCTGGCGTTGACGAAAACCGAGCCCCAGCTTCAATCAATCAAAGACCGCGCCCTGGAGGCCGTAACGCAGGAGCCCTCCGTCGTGGAGGTCCTCCAGCTCTGGCAGCGTGTCTTCCGCGAGACCTTCCAGCAGTACCACCGGCTCTCGGCGCGGCTAGTCCGCTCGGAGGACGTCTCTGCGGCCCTCCGTCTCTGGCAGGAGTACCTCTCCCACGTCCAGGAGTTCCTCTCCAGCGACCCCCCGGGCGACTACAACGGTCTCTCCGAGCACAGAAACCTCTGCGAGGTCCACAAGAACCTCTTGACCGACCAACAGCACCTGATCCTCTCCATCAGAGCGGAGAAGGGTCGAGACCTGTCAGTGGCTGAGCAATTCAACGCTTTGACGAACCTCCACAATGAGACCCTCTCCAAGATCATGGACAGGCACGCCTCAGTGCGGGACAGACTCGACGCCTGGGACAGATACAGAGAGGACCTCAACAATCTCCTCGCCTGGCTGAAGGACATCGAGCGAGAGAAGAGTCGACTCCAACTTCGTTTCATCCACCTGCGACGCCTCGACAAGATCCTCACGAAGATAGAGATCCTCATCGAGAGGCTGCCCACCGGTGAATCCCAGATGGACTCTCTCGTGGAGCAGCAAGAGGCTCTTCTTGCTGACTGCGAGGAGGCCCTGGCTGTCTCCGTCCGCATGGAGCACGCCGCCAACCTCCAGAGGGTCAACAACGTAAGGGCAAGCCTCGAGACCTGGAAGGGCTTCGTCATCAGAATAAGAAATCTCAACGCCAAGCACGTGGACCAGACGTCAGTCATCACCAAGACCCTGACGGAGGTCAGCCAATCGTTGTCATCGGCCTTCCACGCAGCCCCTGGCAGTCTCCTGCAGGCGAGAGAACAGCTGGACTCGCTCAGCCAAATAAGAGTGAAGCTCATTCACGCGTCAACTGATCTCGAGACCCTGGGAGTCACCACGGAGCAGCTGAGGGAGTGCCTCAGTCCGTCTGACATGAAGAGTCTCAATCAACATGTTTCGTTGCTCTGGCAACAGCACGGAGATCTCGAGCACCAGTTGGCCTTGTTGGCTTACAGGCTAGGGGAGAGGGTTGGATTGAGGGGCAAGTGGGAGAAACGGCTGTCGAGGTTTCTCATCTGGCTGACGGACGCTGAGATAAGAATGCACAGCTGTGATTCCGGGCTGGAGGAGCCGGAGGAGGCCTTGAAGAGACTCGAGGGAGAGCTCCACGCGGAGATGGCGTTGAAGCAACGAGAGCTGGACTGGCTGCAGAGGACGGGAGAAGAACTCGTCAAAATGACGGAGTCTGGGGAGAGGGGGAAGCTGAAGGATTCGTTGGACCAAGTTGTCGAACGGTGGGCGAGGCTCATGAGCACTGGAAAGGCGCGGGCGAATAAACTCGTGGACTTGATGCAGACGATGAGCTCGTTGGAGCGGAGGATAGCTGAGATAAGGGCTTGGTTGGGAAGAGTCGAGATGCAGCTGACTGAACCGTTCATCGTTGAGTCCAAGAGCCAGGAGACGATTAACAACAAGTTGAAGGATCATGAGCAGCTGCAGAGGACGATTGAAGCTGAGAGTGGAAACATCGGGGAGGTTTTCAACCTCTGTGAGATCCTTCTGAGCGACTGTGACGCCTGGAAGACGTCGTTCAATACTGAAGCCATCAGATCCGGAATGCAGGGACTTGAGAAGAGGTGGAAGTCGACTTGTGTCAGGTCGGCGGATCGAAAGCGCAAGATCGCAACAGCTTGGAAACTCATTCAGGAGTTGGATAGGATTGAGGTGGAGCAGGAGAGCTGGATCGAGGGAGTGGAGAGGGAGTTGAGCTCGATGGAGGAGTCCTTGGATAAGGTATCCAAGGAGGACTCGGAGCAGACCATGAGCAGGGCTAGGAGGGTCGTCAAGGACGTTGATGCGCACAGGCCTGCCCTTCAGATATTGGAGGGGAGCTACAGCAGATTGGCGAAGGGAGGACTCGAACCGGAGAATCTCAAGAGTCTTACAGCTGGAGTGAGGGTTGTTTTGGAGAGGTGGCATGGACTGAAGCCGAGGGCCAATGCCATTATCAATGCTCTTCAGAGGGAGCAGAAGGCGTATCGAGAGTTCATCACTGCTCATGGATCTGCTGTTGTTGGACTGACGCAGATCGATGTGAGGTTGACTCAGGTTCAGCATCTCATGGGCGATCATTCGATGAACTCGAGGAGGAGACTGGCGCAGGTCGGGGAGATTGAGAGGGAGCTGGACGTTATGAGTGGAACTCTACAGAGGGCTGATCAGCTGGCTCTCAGTGTCATGAGGGACTGCCATTCGGAGGATGTTCATGCTGTGCAGGAGCTCGTTGATGAGTACCAGCTGCTGTGGCAGGATATCAAGAGCAGGGTTGCCAAGTTGAAGGGTGAGCTGGAGGCTAGTGAGAGGAGGGAGGTCGACGAGGCTGTCCAGGTGGAGACTCTCAAGTTTGAGCAGGACTCGGCGGTTCAGGTTGACACGCTGCCCAGGCTCATCAGGATGACGTCGTGCGATGCTTATCTGATGGAGCTGGAAGCCGCTATTGAGGAGTGCAGGGGGGCCATGGAGGCGCTGGAAGATGCGGTGGCGTTGGAGCCTGTGGCTGGACCCGGGTTAGCTGCTGCTGGCAAGAATATTGGCAAGCTCATTGCCAGCTGTCAGTCTGCTGTGGAACTCGCGAGGCATTTGCATGGACTGTTGGTACAGGATGATAAGGTTGATGGGGAGACTGCCAGGGGAAGGGAGGTGGAGGAGTTGGGGACGCGGTATGAGGGACTCCTCAAGAGGGCCAGGGAGAGGGAGCAGCAGATTAGAGATATCAGGTAGGGGACTTTTATTTTTTATATTATTTTATTTTTTATTTCATTCTTTATTTTTTTACTTTTCTCCTTTCAATTTCATGAAGTGGTGGAGAACCAAGTTCATAGAGCTTGTTTTTGAAATATCTTTGGAAGTAATGAGGTTTGCAAAATCGCTGACCATTTCAGAAATCAAAAATGGTTCTCCAGTCATGCACGAAAAAGTTAATAGAATTCGATTTTTTATATACAATTTATTGTATTGAGAATAAGTTCACTTATTCTATTGAGATATTTTCTGTAGAATTACCTGGGCTCCAATTTTTTCATTCAAGTTTTTTTTATTTTTTTTTCGTCCTATGTTTTGTCTCGTTTCATTAAGAAAATAAAAGGAAAAAAACTTGGAAAATTGGAGCTGAGGAAATTCTATAGATTCTATATTTTAACAACAAGTTGTATAGAATATTTTCTATTGAATAATTAAGTAGAATCGAGCAAGAACTAATAGAAATCCAATACAATTGTCTAGCGAATTCGCTAGGTTTTTCTATGAAACTTTTTTATACGTGGAGAAATTTAAAATAGAGGCGAGTGGAGTAAAATGGACAGTCTTGATTTTTTTTCAATGTTCACAGCTCAGCAACAAATGTAACAATTGATTTGTGTCTATTCCTGTCGCAAGGGAACTCGATTTTCGATGAAAAATAAAATTATCCGATTAACAAAAGTGTCCATTTTTACTCAAAAATTGTTTTGGGCACGTTTCGTTCTACCACTTCACCATTGAATTGTTTGATGATGAGGTTGCAATTACTGTTCATTAACTCTCATTAATTCTGGGGGGGGGGGGGGGGAGAGGGTAATCGGAGGACGTGCGTGATACTAATCCTTCTTGTTCTGATGTGCTTTGACAGGTCGCCAATTATCGATACTTACACTATGCCATGTGAACAGTGAGTGTTTAACATTATTAACTAATTAAAAATCTCATTCTAATTAATATCTCAAATGTCTCAACCTTTAACATTTCTTGTGAATGGACTGCTTGATTGAGAATTGATTGACTGACCACTGAGAGAAAAACGACAGACGACTCAAACAAGTCTTACTTGTCACGCGTGAAAAAATTCAAAAGAAAAATTCAATAGAACATCTAGCGAATTCGCTGGAAAATTCTATTGAAATTCTATTAAAAAATTCTATTCTGGAGAAAAAGTCAATAGATTTCGAATTTCTGTTAGAATTTTTCTCTTAGATTTTTTTCTATTAGAATTATTGGACACATTTTTTTTACATTGGGCACTGGGATTCTGCAACGCAAAACCAAACAAAATCCAGTTGAAAAAACTTAGAAAATTGATGCCCAAGCATTTTTATAGAAAAAATCTCAAGAGAAAAATTCAAACAGAAATGCGAAATCTATTGACTTCTTTTTTTTCTTATCGAATATCCAATAGAATCAGCACAAGAACCAAATAAAATTTTTCAATAGAATTCCAATAGAATTTTGTGGCTAATTCGCTAGGTTTTCTATTGAATATTTTCATACGTGGTGCCAAGAATCATCATAATCAACAGATTAATTTCTCATCAACAGTGATGGAGGAAGGCTGACATGTCCCCTCTGCAGTCGCCGCAACTGGGCGCAGTTGGATATTGACCTCTGGCGGCTGGAGAAATGGTTGGAGTACGCCGAAGGCACCCAGAGTGAGCAGCACTCGCCCCCAGGTAACATCGAGGAGCTGGAGGACATCATCCAGGATCACAGGGAGTTTCTGCTGGACCTGGACAGCCACAAGAGCATAGTAGTGAGTCTGAACATCGTGGGAACTCACCTGGCGGACCACACGGAGGACGTGGAGAGGGCGCAGGAGCTGAGGGACAGGCTGTCAGTGGCAAACTCCAGGTGGGAGAAGGTCTGCCAGAGTGCAGCCACCTGGCAGGAGGCACTGCAGTCGGCTCTAATGGGCAATCAGCAGTTCCACAGGATTGTGGATGAGCTCGTGTGCTGGCTGGAGAGGACTGAGGCCTCCATTCGTGCATCAGAACCCATTGATTTGACCGAGAACACCAACATCATCAGCTCCAAGTACGAAAAATTCAGGGAATTGAGGAGTGATTTGGAGAGGTGCGAGCCCAGGGTTCTCTCCCTCCAGGAGGCTGCCAATCAATTGCTGGAGGAGCATGTGGACACCAGGAGTCGACTTCAGGAGCTCAGGCTCAGGCTGCAGTCGCTGAGGAGGCTCACGGGAATTTATGCTTTGAAACTGGGCGCTGCCTTGGGACTCGATCCCAAGGAGGTGGGACTCGCTGCTACCACTTCGTCACTTGCTGCCCTCTCTCAAGATGTGAGTCAATGGTTCTATTGGGAGTTTTAGGCGTACGGTGGATAGGTTTAGATATTGGAGTATTTTAAGGTGCATTTAGGTAGTCACGCACTTTTTCAAGGCCACGATGTTGGATTTTTTGTGGGGAAATCCAGGTTGTTTGGTGATTATTCAGTTTTTGAAGGTTTTTTTTTCTTTGAAGTGTGGGGATTTTTTTATTGAGTTTCGCGTGGAGAAAGTCATTGTTTCAGAATGAAATAGTCAATTCTGAGGAAGAATGAGAAATTTAACGGTGGAAAATATGTTTAATTCCTCGTCTTGAACTGCAGGAATCCAATTATTTTGGATATTCTGGGTATTTTCATTCAGAACTTCATTTTCTTCCAATTTTAAATATTTTTGAACAGTAGAAAATTAGAAAATGAAGTTCAGTTTTGGAATTTTAGTGAGAATTTTTTGGCAAATTTTCAGAGCTTTTAAAGTTTTTGAATTTGGTACTTGGATTTCCTCAATGCCTCAGAATTCGTAGTATTAATTACTTGTATTTAAGTAGCCAAACACCTCACATTGCACAGTACCTTATAGTTTGTGTTTTTTCTTTGACTCGATTACAGCTGCTCGATGGAGCTTCAACGTCCTCTGGCCAGCCCCTCGACGCTTCATCAATTGAGTATGTTTTTTTTCTTTCCTCTCTCCACATGTAACCACTAAAAATACAATTTATCCCCTTTCAATGGATTTCGTTCAAGTCGAAATTGCAGCTTTCGATAATTTTCCATTCACCTCATAGACGTTACAGGGGAGACACTACTATGAGTTTTAAAAGTCGTGGGATATTGGAGTAAGATTTCTCATGCATTGAAGATCGATCATATATGTCTAAAAATGAATAATTAGTGCAAAAAAATTAATTGTTTACTGTTCGTTTGCTTTGCAGACGCTTCAAATGTTAAAAATAGTTCAGGACCTCCAATTTTTGAGTTACTATTTTTTGAAAATTCTTGAAAAAATTGTACAATAACAATTACGAATTAGTTTTTTGAAATTTGGCCTCTACATAGCTAATTTCGGTTTGATTAATATAACAATTTGCATTATGCAATTATCGCAAAAGAGAACAACATTATATGAAAATCACTGATATTCGAATAATAAAAATACTTGAGGCCCGGGTGGATTCGATAATCAGAAATGATCTGCAATTGCTATTCAGTTTTAAATAGCCCTGGAGTCTCCAAAAATTATGATTGTATAATCAAAAAAACGTTGAAAAATAGCTGAACATTTTCAAAGAGCGTTTTTTAATAATATTGGGAAATAAACCCAGTAGGGAGGAAATTGCAAATTAATAATTTGATGTATCTAATGGCTGTCAGATCGTTAGTTACCATGATGAATTATCCGTTCACTATTTTTTCTCTATCGGCCTTATTTCTTAATCTTTATTAAAAACGCTCTTTGAAAATGTTCAGTTTCAATCATAATTTTTAGGGATTCCTGTGTAATGTGAAATCCAATGAAAATTGCAATATATTTTACATTATCAAGATGGAAAAACAATCGAGATAATGTTCAAAAGATAATTCACCCGGGCCTTAATAAAAAAAATTAAGTAATGAAACAATAAAAAAAGTTGAAAAAAAAAATTCACTCTCCCCTATTCTTCAGCCAATTTTCGTATTTCATAATTTCATCAAATAAAAAAATTCATGCAAACCAATCACAAACTCTGCTGCCAAACTACGACTTGCCCTATTTTACCCCATCTCTATTACATAAATCCCTTCAAATCAGAAATGATAAACGCAATAATTTTGTTTCAGTGGTGACGAACGAGATCGTACGGTATTGGTTCGTGGATACCGTTTCTTAGGCCGTGTATTAAGGGCTTCCCTCCCGATCCAAGCGCTGATGCTACTCTTGCTTGGCGTTGCTTCGTTGGTACCCGCTGCCGAAGACGATTACAGCTGTATGCTATCTAACAACTTCGCGAGGACCTTCACACCCGTGGTAGACTATCCAAACGGTCCGCCGCCCCTATAAGACTCACAAAACCGAATCCTTCGAAAATAGAATTTCGTCGATTCATCCCAATCTGAATTCAATCATGAAGTATTAATTATTTTTCACACTTTCCTTTGACCAAAAGTCTGTTCCCCCAATTGTAAATACGACGCCAATGAGAAATGATAGGCTCGAGAGTTCGTGAATGTCAGTCAAAAATGCCAATTAATTTATTCAATTATTTTGTATATTATGGTATTTGTTATTGTGCAGTACGTGATTAACGACTAAAAAAGTGTTTTTGTTTTCTCTCGACATCTACTTACTTGTGATTGACCGAAAAGTTGTTCACTCCATGATTTTTTACTGGTGCTATTCAGTGATGAGGTATCGAAATGTCAAAACGAATTTCTTGTCGAACGATTTCGAATGAAGGAAAATTAGGATAGCCCTGACGATGTAAAATATTGAGGAACACGCGACTTATTGCCGAATAGTTACGCTTTCTAATTGAGATGTTCTCGCTTTACGCACAGTGAGCTTGATTATGTATTTTTATAAGAAAGAGCTTATACGTCGATATTATTATAATATATTGCTATGAAGATTAATTGTAGTTGGATTTTGTTATTTCGTGGGCGGTTATTTTCATTCAGCCATCTTTTCAGAAAAAAATGAAAACCGAAATCCCCAGCATCGACTCCTTTGGCCTGCGGATTTGCTTATATGGGAATTCGGTAAAAGTATCCGAAAGTCTCTTTAGATGAAAATGTCTATTGTTGAAGAAATGAACTTTTCCAAAATTTTCCAAGTTTTCAAAATGTTTTCGAGCGTTTAGAAATGGAGAATCAAATTTGCACCTTCAAAATTCAAATAATAGTGTTTAAACTTTCAAGTTTTTATTATGCAATTTTATTTTTTCTTTATCTCTTTATCTCTTAATCTTCACTTCATTTTTCTTATTCCTCAAGAGAAAAAAATAAGACTTACATATTTTACAGCTGACTGCTATACAATAATTTAATTATCACACAGAATAAAAAAAAGAAAAAAAATTTTGTACAGTCTCTTCGATGTTTTTTTTTCTGTAGAAAAAGTATGATACAGTTGTAGTAAAAAATAGTTTGAATTTTTTTTTCATCTGTTACTTCGGGTGAATAGAAAAGTTCTGTAAACCTAATTTTGGATCTTGAGCGTTGTTAATTGTTCGGAATACTCTAGGTACAATCTCTGCCATCTGAGGTGGCCGCCGATGACTTTCAGGGCGTCACCGAGGAGTTTGTGTTTTCTCATGCCGAGGATCATTGGGTCCCAGGTGCTTTTGGATGCTGAACTGTGACTGGGGCCCAACAAATCATCCAGAATTATTCTCAGTCGTCTTTCGAGTCCATCTGGAGTGGAAAATCAATGATTAATTGATATTAATCCAAGTTTAAATAATAAAATGTTAAATGTCCGGAAACTCAGGGTCAAATGAGGTTCAAATGACAGTTCTGATATTCGACTACAAAAGTAGAACAGCATTTCACTGGAGAAAAAATATTGGAATTGGCTATTAGAATAAGATTTCTCATACATTGAAGATCGAAACTAAACTAACTGATATCTAAAAACGAATAATTAGTGCAAAAAAATAATTGCTTATTGTTCGCTTAAACCCCAGATGCATAAAATGGTGGCAATGTTAAAAATGTTAAAAATGTGTGCAATAACAATAACGAATTAATTTTTTGAATTGCAGCTGAATTCGTTATTTTGTTAATAAAGAATTGCACCATTTATGGAAAATATCCCGAAAAATGTTTCTGAAAGAATCGAGAATATATTTTTAATCTTTGAACCCCTCACATACGGGGTCGATGCCATACATCGACCTATAAAAATATGAATGACTCTTCGAAATTGATTATTTCCAAAACTATGGAATTTAACTCGACCAAACAAATAGCAACAAAAAAAGGAATACTGTAGCTTCAATTACATATCGGTTGCATAATTTTTCGTTGATTAGAAGTCATTACATTCTAGTTGTATCGAGGGTACTCCACGCTTGGAAACGGAAGGGCCCCTTTGAAGGGTTAAGGATAATTTTTCTGCCTATTTTACATGAATGGCGCAAATTTTTATATTAAACAAAACGAAATTAGCTGCGTAGGAGTCGAATTTCACAGAACTAATTCGTAATTGTTATTGTAGACATTTTTTCAAAAATTTTGAAAAAAAAAACCTAGCTCAAAAAGTGGAGGCCCTGGACGATTTTCAACATTCCAAGCGTCTGCGGGGCAAACGCATGATGAACAATTAATGTTTTCCACTAATTATTAGTTTTTAGACATATACAATCGATCTTTAATGTAAAATCTCACTCCAATAGCCCGCGACTTTAAAACTCATAGTACACTGAGAGAAAAACGACAAAGTTCTCAAACAAGTCTTACTTGTGCCAAGAAAATAGTTTTGTGAAAAATATCAAAAAAGGATTTTTTTGTGCCAAACATGCGGAGAGTGCGCCGGAATGAAAAATTTTTGTCCCAAAAATAGATTTAGTACTTAAAAAAAAAATTGCATTCTCTGTAGACGCAAGGAATGTCATTTCTAGCACTACTCCTTCGTTATTCGATACTCCCATACGTATTTTGCTCCCGAAAACCTTTGTTTTATGCGAAACAATGGATAGTAATTTTTCGTTTCAGCTGTCTAATAATCACAGACAAGAAATTAACCCTTAAATGAAACAACAATAATGATATGATAGCAATCNCTAATAATCACAGACAAGAAATGAACCCTTAAATGAAACAACAATAATGATATGATAGCAATCTTGTAACTTAGGGATAAAATGTTTGTTGATAAATTTTCCTCTATGAGATATTTTCATCTTGAAAAGGCACCGTCTGATGTGAATTATCCGCCCCTTGAGCCAAATATTTCGTTGCTGTCGAAAGCAGAACAATTATTCATGTTTGAGGCTTTCAAATTCGGACCAAACAAATTCTTTTTTGGCAATTTTCAACTAGCGATTTTGTTGCTATACAATAATTTAATTATCACACAGAATAAAAATAAATAAAAAAAATTTTGTACAGTCTCTTCGATGTTTTTTTTTCTGTAGAAAAAGTATGATACAGTTGTAGTAAAAAAATAGCTTGAATTTTTTTGTCATCTGTTACTTCGGGTGAATAGAAAAGTTCTGTAAACCTGTCTAATAATCACAGACAAGAAATGAACCCTTAAATGAAACAACAATAATGATATGATAGCAATCTTGTAACTTAGGGATAAAATGTTTGTTGATAAATTTTCCTCTATGAGATATTTTCATCTTGAAAAGGCACCGTCTGATGTGAATTATCCGCCCCTTGAGCCAAATATTTCGTTGCTGACGAAAGCAGAACAATTATTCATGTTTGAGGCTTTCAAATTCGGACCAAACAAATTCTTTTTTGGCAATTATCAACTAGCGATTTTGTTGGCCCAAACAAGACTTGTTTGACGTGTTTGTTTTTCTCTCAGTGTAGTCCCTCCCCTTGAAAACTGAATGAATTTACCTTGAGTGAGAAGGAATGAAATTAACGCCATGAACCAGTGAACGTATTCCTGGAGGCTCCCGAGAGCCTTGGCAGCGAGCACCTGTTGCTCCAGATAGGAGACAACACTTGGGCCATTATGTGGAGGACGTGGGGTGGGCATGGTTCCACTGGCAGTTCTATTCAAACCTTCCTGAAGCGACGAAAGAGGGCCCCGAGGTGCCCTGCCCCCAGACACTGTCGATGCACTCTGAGCTGACCATCTCCAAACTGGATCCTGACTGTCACCGACCAGCAGCCAAGTCCCCATTTCCTTATTATAAATGTACGCTCGTGCATTTGTGAAGCCAAGATGAGGCATTCCATTGTAAATACTGCAAGAGAGGAGAGAAGCCCCCGAGGCACAGAGATGGCTTGCAGAGGTAGAGACAATTAATTTACAGGCAGTCCCGATCTCCCAGACCCTGACAGCTCCACATGAGGAAATCACCATGACATTGGTTCCCACAGCATGCACCCTGGCGAGTGGGGCTGGTGGGGCTAGAGGAGGGGCTGGCCTGCAGCCCTTGGTGGGGTCGAATGTATGTATACTGCCATCCTCAAGACCTATTGCAATCACTGCTGCTGAGGCTGTCAGAGCAACTGCGCTGTATCTGTCACAATGAGAATAATTCAGTAGCAAAGTGGTAAAACGGTACAAGTCAATAGGGAACTTGCATGAATTTTTTTCAATCTCAAGTTTGGGACCTGAATAATTCAGCAGCGAAGTGGTAAACCAGTTTAAGGGTGCCAAGTGAATTTGGCGATGACCTTGAAAATTGACATTCACCAACAAAGTTTTTAAATTTAATTTTTTAAATTAATAGTATTAGACAGATGGTGAACATCGGTGACAATTTTAAAATTTTAGAACTTATGGATATCGAGAAATTAAATAAACAAAATCAGTCTTATACACGGCCTCTTATGGAGTTTTGATTAAATTGAACGTTTCAACCCCCTAGGAACTCAAGAAAAATTTGAAAAAATTTGAAGATATGGGGAATGATGTGTTCAATGTGATGGCGACAAAAAACAATGGGGTACCGGGGTGAATAAGAGAGATATTTCAACCCGCCGTACCCATTTGATCCCATGCTTTCTCGAGGTTCGTCACGCGAAATGGAGGATTTTCCGCATTTATTTTCTCGATGTCTAGTTCCGGTTGCGGGTTTGAAATTTCGTCGGATGGATGAATACGTATTTCTCCAATGATGGAGGGAAAGAAAAATTTTTTTTTGAATCTTTTTTCAAATTCACTTGTCACCCTTAAGTCGACTCCCAGTTGAGTTTTTGAGGAATATTTCCGAATCTAACGGAGATAGCGGAATTACATTTATTATAGCTCTCAATCGGCTCTACAAAAAAGGTTATAACAAAAATTTTGCTATCTCCTTTAGATTCCAAGATATTTATTGAAAACGGTCAATAGTCAAAATTGACTTATACCTTTTTACTACTTCGCTACTGAATTCATTTTTCATTCACAAACGTTTGAAGTATTGCTCGTTAATTAATAAGCAATTGTTAAAAGTTGAAGATTTCAAACGCTTTGAAATCGCTAATGACGTCACACAGACGGTCGAGCGCTGGACCAATTACAGAGTGGCTCGAGCTAACCTAACCCAATCTTGAGGTGCGCCTCAGCCAATGGAGGACGACAACTCCCCACTCTCTTCTTTTTCGACCAATGAAGCGTTACCTGACCGTCTTCGTGACGTCATGACCGAAAAATTGGCCTCGAAAAGGATTGATTTTCAATGAATTATCATAAGACACCTACCGCAATATTTCTATATAATGTTCGCCGTTTAGCTACCCATATGTTATGAGAAATGTGTGAATAGATGAGTAATTAGAAAGAATTGAGCTTCGTGCAAGTTCCCTATTGTGACTATTGGCCAGTTTGGTATGAGTTTTCAATGAATATCTCGGAATCTAAGGGAGACAGCAAAATTTTTGTAATAAGCTTTTTTGTAGAGCCGATTGAGAGCTACAACAATTGTAACTACGAAAATTTCTCTATCTTGTTGAGAGCAACGCTAGTGAATCAGAGTCATCAGTGTGAATGTCCGTGAGAACACTTACACACTGATAAACATCAAACATTGTAGTCAGGCGTATTGAATAAATTCTCGAAGGCAGACGTGCCGATTGACGTTTATCCAGTCGGTGTACATTTCAATCGCTCTTGTACTTGTTAGACTGTCAATTAATTATCAACATATCTCTCTTAGATTTGAAAATATTCTTGAAAAACTCAACTGGGAGATAAGTCGACTTGAACAGTTTCACCACTTCGCTACTGAATTATCAGTTTTACTCACAAATTTACATTTTCATAATGTAAAATATATCACCATTTCCATTGGATTTTACATCACGCAGGAGTCCCTAAAAATTATGATTGTACAATCAAAAAAAGTAGAAAAAAAACTGAACAGTTTCAAAGAGTATTTTTAATAAAGATTAAGTCCGATAGAGAGAAAATAGTGAATGGATAATTTATCATGATAACTAACGAGCTGACAGCCAGATACATCAAATTATGAATTCGCAATTTCCTCCCTATTGGGTTTATTTCACAATATTATTCAAAAAAGCTCTTTAAAAATCTTCAGCTTTTTTTTCAAAATTTTTTTTATTGTACAATCATAATTTTTGGAGACTCCAGGGCTACGTAAAACTGAATAGCAATTGGAGGCCATTTCAGATTATCAAAATAAAAAAAGCAACCAAGATCACGTTCGAAACATAATCTACCCGGGCCTCAAGTTTTGGTATTTTTTTTTTCAATTCAAGCTATGACTGAATTAATTGGAAAATTTTGTATATGAATAACTTTCTTACGATTCCAAACAAATGTTTTTTACGGTGGAAAATTGATTGTTTATAAATTATTTATAGAAAATCCTCGTAATCTTCAAAAAGTGTAATTTTTTAATAATTTCATCAATCTTCCTTCAAAAGCAAACTTTCTAATTTTTTTCTAATTTTTAAAATGTTTTCTAACGGTTCAAAATCAAGAGTCAAAATTAGACCTGCAAAGTTTAAATAATAAATTCATTGTAAAATGTCCGGGACTCAGATGAAAACTCTGATGTTCGATTACAAAAGTAGAAAAACATTACACTGGAGAAAAAATAGCCAAAGTACTTGGATATCCTTAACTCGAACGGTTACAAAACTTCCATTCAAATGCTGAAAAATGTAATATTTTGACCTTTGAATCTCAGAAACGAGTGTTTTTCCAAGAAAATGAGAGATATTTCGTAATGAAAAATTTCTCCCAAAAAATATTTCTCATTAGTTTCCTAAACCCACTCGAAGCCGAGATAATTTCACGATGAATATCACTCAAATGCTCAAATAATAACCATACCCCAAATAAAGATCCCACGTGGGCTCAGAATCAGTCCCACGAAAGACTTGAAGATGAGCTAGGCTCTGATTATTCGTCACAGTCACTGCGTAATGAGCTGCCTGTTGAGATAACGAGCTCACTGGCTTCAGTGCTGGAAGTACGTAGCCCCCAACTTTCTCCAGCAGTTTCGGCTTTTTACTCTGGGACGAGTGGTGATGATGATGATGGTGGTGAGGTCTCGGGGTTAACTGGTCACGTTTCTTCAGGGTCAGGGAGGATCCTGGTGTCGAGGAGACTGTCGAGGCTGTTGTCGTGACGTTTGGGGCTACCACGTCATCTCGTTTCTCGATTATTATCGATGATTTTGTTTGTGATGTACTGGAGAACGTGGGGGTGCCCTTGAAGGCTGGAGTTTCGTTCTGAATTGACGTGTCCCTGAAAAAAATTATGAAGAAAATTATTCATTGATAACTATTTGGGCAAACTTATATAAATTTTTGTTCATGGAGAATTGTCTCGAGAATTTAGGGGAAAAAATGATGAAATTTCAGTTTCAGGAGGAGATTCTCCACAAAAACGACGCCTAAATTTTAATTAATTGATTAATTAGTCATTTTAATTTCAATTTTTTTTAGTTTAGTTCAAGATTTTCAAGAAGTTGAGTGATTTGTTGAGGGGAGACTACTATGAGTTTCAAAAGTCGCGGGCTATTTAAATGCGATTTCTTATACATTGAAGATTGATTATGTATGTCTAAAAATGAATAATTAGTGCAAAAAAAATAGTTTATTGTTCGTTTGTCCCACAGACGCTCAAAACATGAAAATAGTCCAGAATCTCCAATTTTTGAGCTACAGAGGCTTCTATTATTCAAAATTTTTGAAAAAAGATGTGCAACTACAATTACGAATTAGTTTTTTGAAATTCAACTCCTACACAGCTAATTTCGTTATTTCTTCAATAAAAAATTGCACCATTTAAGTAAAATAGCCTGAAAAATGTTTCTGAAAGAATCGAGAATATATTTTAAATATTTTAAGGATAATTTTTCTGCCTATTTTACATGAATGGCGCAAATTTTGATTTTAAACAACAGGAAATTAGATTTGTAGGAGTCGAATTTTAAAAAACTAATTCGTAATTATTATTCCACACATTTTTTCAAAAATTTTGAAAAAAAAGAAACCTCTGTAGCTCAAAAATTGGAGGCCCTGGACTACTTTTAACATTTTAAGCGTCTGCGGGACAAATGCGGGACAATAAACAATTGATTTTTTTGTACTAATTATTCGTTTTTAGACATATGTAATCGATCTTCAATGGATGTAATGAGAAATCTCACTCCAATCGACCGCGACTTTTAAGTCATAGTAGTCTCCCCTTAAGAGGCAATGGAACTTACCATCAGAGTAGAAACCGAATTCCAAGTTCTTTCGTCGTCAGACAACTGTTTAGCAAAACCCCAAATTCTTACACTATAGATACCAATATTATTATTATTGATGATGTAAGAATTTGAGTTTTGCTAAATAGTCGTCTGACGACGAATAAACTTCCAATCCAATTTTTACTCCGATGGTAAGTTCCATTGCCTCTTAAGGGGTAACAGAATGCCGTTAATTTTCCAAATTTTTGAATAAATTTCCTGCCGAAAGCTATCGATATTTTTACAAATCAAAGCACATTACTCTCCCAGAAGCGATGATGAAGATCAATGTGCTTTGGGTTTAAAAAATATTATTAAGGGGAGACTACTATGAGTTTTAAAAGTCGTGGGTTATTGGAGTGAGACTTTTCATACGTTGAAGATCGATTATATAGATCTGAAGCCGAGTAATAAGTGCAAAAAAAACTTGTTTTATTTTTCGTTTCCCCGAAAACGCTTAAAATGCTAAAAACAGTCCAGGACCTCCAATTTTTGAGCTACAAAAGATTTTTTTTTTTCAAAATTTCCGGAAAAATGTGTAGAACAACAATTACGAGCAAGTTTTTTGTAATTCGACTCCTACACAGCAGATTTCGTTTTTTTTTTCATATGAAAAAATCACTATTTGTGTAAAAAAATACAAAAAAAGCAAATTTAGCCATGTAAGAGGTGAATTAAAAAAAACTAGCTCGTAATTGTTATACCACATATTTTTCCGAAAATTTTGAAAAAAAAAAATCATTCGTAGCTCAAAAATTGGAAGCCCTGGACTGTTTTTGGCATTTTAAGCGTTTTCGGGCAAACGAACAATAAGAAAAAATTTTTTTTGCACTCATTATTCGATTTCAGATCTATATAATCGATCTTCAACACATGAAAAGTCTTACTCCAATAACCCACGACTTCTAAAACTCACAGTAGTCTCCCCTTAACTTTGAGCAGAAAATTTGTTTGAAAATTTCGAGAAAACGGTGGCCTTCTGTTACCCCTCAAAGAAAAAGTGTTCGTACATGGAATCAGCTGGTGGTGGTATGAACATGGGTGTGATCCTCCTCCTTCCATCAGAGGTTCTCGTCTCTATCTGTTTGTTGATGGGCCCTTTGACTGGAGTAGTTGGAACAGAAGATGTTGGTGTGGTGATTCCATTTACCACTGGTTGAACTGTAGTTGCATTTGCCACTGGCTGTGGTGACATGCTTGATGTAGGTGGCTTTAGGTTCAGGAGTACTGGGGCTTCCATTACTGTGCAACCACTTTGAGACGATAGAGGCTTGCCGTATAAACGTTCATGAAGGGTGCACTGTAAAAATGAAAAAAATAACAGATTAAACACTAAATTCATATGATCTGCAGAAACAATTCAATTTTGTACATTTTATTCAATTCAATTTCATGAAACTCAATTTTATTTAATATCTCTGAAACTAATCAATTTCGAGAACAAGGTCAGAAGACGATTTATCTACGAATAATTCATCTTTACATTTTTTATGCGCTGTTACTCCCAGGATATTTGTGAGAATAAACTGTAGAATAATTTTTGAAAATTATTGGAGTAGATCAGATATCTGGTGGTGACAGTTTTGCAAATATCTCGGGAACTTGTAGGTTTAGAGAAAATGTCAGACATTTTCTGTAGCCCATGAAATTTTCTACAAAAAGTGTCTTTTAACATTTTCCCCTACACCTCTTTCCTATTTGCAGAATAAAGAGTCGAAAATTTCGATAGTCATTAATTCAGTAGTGAAGTGGTCAATCGGTTTAAGTCAATTTAGCTTTCAGTTGAGTTTTTGTTGAACAACTCGGAATTTAACCCTAGATTAGTCACCCTATGAGGAAACCCCCACCGCGCGTCGTTTTTTTTAAATTACAATTGACTGGCTAACCGGAAAAATTCAGAAAAATTTGACTTTGTCAATTGAAGCGTCTAAAAAATTATAGTTGTTTTTAGAACAACCTAGTTCCCAAAATTCCTAGAAAAAACAAATTATTTCGGACAGATGGATTATTTTTTCCCATATTAAGGGGAGACGGAACCCCTTTGTCTACATCAAATCTTAGAATTGTGTTTTCTCCTACAATTATTAATTTCTATCTATGAAATTACTTTATCGACTCGATTATCGCATTGTTGAGTCAATGAAGTAGTTTAATGAATAAAAAATAATAATTGCAGGAGAAAACACAATTCTAAAAGATTCATATAAACGCAGGGGTTCCGTTTCCCCTTAAATGAAATTGCCCATGACGCGACGTTGCCGGAAACTCGCTAAACGCGCCCGGGCAGTGTAGAGTGAATTCGGCAACACTAAAGCCGATATAACACAGCGGGGAATCCCCGCGGAGGTGACCAATCGCAGAGTGGCGTTTGGTGATCAGACTAGGGTTANTATCGCATTGTTGAGTCAATGAAGTAGTTTAATGAATAAAAAATAATAATTGCAGGAGAAAACACAATTCTAAAGATTCATATAAACGCAGGGGTTCCGTTTCCCCTTAAATGAAATTGCCCATGACGCGACGTTGCCGGAAACTCGCTAAACGCGCCCGGGCAGTGTAGAGTGAATTCGGCAACACTAAAGCCGATATAACACAGCGGGGAATCCCCGCGGAGGTGACCAATCGCAGAGTGGCGTTTGGTGATCAGACTAGGGTTAAGTTGTTTCGTGTGTAAATCACCGGAGGATGAAACGGAAGGGGAATCTTATTGTTCTCGAGCCCTGATTCAATCGCTGAACACGAAATTTTCCAATTTTCAAGTAACTATTTAAGTGTGCATTTGAACATTTTTTGAATATTGATTTTATTTATCAGATTGACTGATTTTTTTCTCATCACCTACGGGTGTCAAATAATTTTTATTTGATGGTATTCTTATTATTGAAATAATATTAAAATGCGTCTCGAGTTGGTAAACCTGTCGAGTGTTTTCTCTCAGTTGCAAATTAATAATTTGATGTATCTAATGGCTATTAGGTAGTCATTTGTCACAGTAGTCAATGGTTGTGAGATCGTTAGTTACCATGATAAATTATCCATTCACTATTTCCTCTCTATTGGACTTATCTCTTAATCTTTATTAAAAGCTCTCTTTGAAAATGTTCAGTTTGTTTTTCTACTTTTTTTGATTGTACAATCATAATTTTTAGGGACTCCTGCGTGATGTAAAATCCAATGGAAATTGTGATATATTTTACATTATGAAGATGGAAAAATAATCAAGACAACGCTTGAAAGATAATCCTCTCGGGCCTTAAAAACTTAAATTTAAACAAATAAATGTCTATTTTGTTTTTTTTAAACTGATTCGTTGTCGAGATTATTTATAATTAACAAGACTGACTTCTGATGATACTCTAGTGGTTGAAGAATTGAAATTCGCGATATACTGAGTGATTATCAGTTTTAAGAGAAAAAGGTGCTCAATTGTTATTAATGAACGATTAAAAACTGATGATTGCTTTTGCGGTAATTTCAGAGATTTTCTCAAGAAAGATTTGATTTATCACCCAATAGTTTTTCCTCAATAGTTCATCATTATTTCGGTCGCCATGGAAATTTCCCTAATCGACAGTGGGGTAACCTCGGAGGTTATAGCTGGAAGGCTTACAAAAACATTCAAATTTCATTATTTTTTTTCTTGAAACCGAGATCTGAACAAAATGTGCAAGAATTCTCAATGAATGCATACTTAGAAATTTCTCCATGAATTGTCCAATTTTTTTTCATTATTTTGACTTTTCAACCAAAACACCTTAAGACAGCGAAATTTTTGGAAGATTTTTTTCGTTAGTCTTCACTTTTCTTCACAAAAAAGATTTTCAGGAAAATTTTGCTAACTCCTTTAAAATTTGAAACATTCATCGAGAACTGGAGCTAGAATAGACTTGACTTAAACCGTTTGACCACTTCACTACTGAATTCACTTCAATTCTAAAATGTTCAATTGCACTGACTTGTTCTGCAGGATCGAGGGGTTGACCCAACTCCTGCTGTGTGAATTCGACAAAAGCGACAGTTCCATCCCAGGAGCAAGCTGCCAACCGAAATCCACAGGGAGACCAGCTGAGATCAAGCACGGAATGAGTGAACAATTCGTGGATGACAACCAGTGGCCTCTTCAGAGACGTCAACCAGACAGAGAGGGATCGATCTCGCGATCCAATTGCGACGCAACAATACTGTTGAGGCTTTGATGACCCTGGCTGTTTCTTCTTCAGTATATTCCCATTGAATCTCTGAAATTACCGCAAAAGCAATCATCAGTTTTTAATCGTTCATTAATAACAATTGAGCACCTTTTTCTCTTAAAACTGATAATCACTCAATATATCGCGAATTTCAATTCTTCAACCACTAGAGTATCATCAGAAGTCAGTCTTGTTAATTATAAATAATCTCGACAATGAGTAAGTTTAAAAAAAACAGAATAGACATTTATTTGTTTAAATTTAAGTTTTTAAGGCCCGAGTGGATTATCTTTCGAACGTTGTCTTGATTATTTTTCCATCTTCATAATGTAAAATATATCACAATTTCCATTGGATTTTACATCACGCAGGAGTCCCTAAAAATTATGATTGTACAATCAAAAAAAGTAGAAAAACAAACTGAACATTTTCAAAAAGAGTTTTTAATAAAGATTAAGAGATAAGTCCGATAGAGAGGAAATAGTGAATGGATAATTTATCATGGTAACTAACGATCTCACAACCATTGACTACTGTGACAAATGACGACCTAATAGCCATTAGATACATCAAATTATTAATTTGCAATTTCCTCTTTATTGGGTTTATTTCCCAAAATTATTTAAAAAGCTCTCTTTGAAAATGTTCAACTTTTTTCCACCATTTTTTTGATTGTACAATCATAATTTTTGGAGGCTCTAGGACTATGTAAAACTGAATAGCAGTTGGAGATAATTTCATATTATGAAAATAAAAGAAACAACCAACATCATGTTCGAAAGATAATCCCATTTTTGGCTAACATGAATAATTACCAATTTAATTCAATAGCGAAGTGGTAAAGCGCTTTAAGTCGACTCATCTCCCACTTGAGTTTATGAGGAATATTTCCGAATCTGCGGGAGATAGCAAAAGTTTCGTGATTATATTTGTTGTAGCTCTCAATCGGCTCTACAAAAAAGGATACAATAAAAATTTGGCTATCTCACTTAGATTCCGAGATATTTATTGAAAACTGGCCAATAGTAAAAATTAACTTATACCAGTTTACCACTTCGCTACTGAATTGTTAATTCCCAATGCTGAATCGTCAAACAATTCAAATAAAAATGAAAATAATAAGGAATCGCAATCATGCCGAAAACGATAATTTTACCCCTGACTAGACACATGTAAAAAATTACAGTGATTCTGCACACGGAGATATTCAATAAAATATTCAATAAAAATTACGTATCTTTTCCGTAATTCCGGAGCAAAATGTGGTTGTAGGAAATTTTACGGAACTGTCACGGAATTATTCCAGAGCGTTCCGTAATGTTTATCTGAATCTCCTGTGAAAAATTATGATACCATCACTTAAATTTTCTGATTCGATTCCGTAATCGGTGACGGAATTGTGAGTTCCGTAATTTTCACTGAACATTTTTCTCCGTGCATTCCTAGAGTTAGTAATAAAATGACTAATCCACCATACCACACAAGTGACAGCTTTCCTGTGGCCGACAAAGTCCTTATCCTGTGTCCAGCCATCCCTCTCGATGATCTGAGCAGTGGGTCCTCCGCCATTCATAGCATGAGCCGAGACTAGATACTGTCCATCAGGACTCCACGACAGTCTCAAAACATGTGTAGTCCCCCCACAATCCTCAAAAGGTTCGGAGATGAGGGTGGCCTCCCCCCAATCAGTCGTCCTCCAAACCCTGAGGGTTTTGTCGTCCGACTGCGACGCCAGATACTTTCCCACGGGGTCCCAGGTGACCCCTTTAACGAGACCAGTGTGGCCCTTCAATATAGCGACAATTGCTGGAAACTTTGAGGCGTCCCAGACGATGACACTGTTGTCCACTGATGCTGACGCTAGCCAGGGACTGTGTGGAGCCCAGGCAAGGTCCAGAACGTCACCCTCGTGACACCTGAGGGTAGCAATGCACCTCCAGTTCTCCACACCTGCCTTGCCACCGAAAATCGTGCTTCCTCCACCGCTTCCTGCTAGTCTCCAGATCATTATGACTTTGTCGTCACCTCCTGACGCGAGGAGACCGTTCGCACTCCATCGCACGCAGTTGACGCAGGCTGGAGAGCATTCAGGTAAGATTAATTCATGGGAATGTGGGATTATATGGGGTTTGGTGATGGATATGTATTATATTATTCAAATTTATTATAAGGGGATATCGAGTCAATCTTTTAATGCCATCATTCAATTAATTCAATCGATATTATTTTATTAATCGTCGAACAAATAATTAATAAAGCATTTTGAAAATTCTAAAAATTAATATGAGCAGATCCACGTCAAAACGCAAGACCAAAAAAGTCGATCTCATTTTCTCGCCGATTTTTTTCCTTAAAGTTGGTCTCAATGCGAACGTTTAAAAAAAATCATCCAAAAATATTGAAAATTAAGGAAGTTAGGATTTTTTGAAAATTTTTCGTTTTTTTCGATGCATATTTTCAGGTCATTTTTCTGTTCAAGTTTTCAGCAATATCTAATTCGGGTTTGAAGGTATCAAATCGCGGTTTTGCACATGAAATATACATAGAAAAACCTTGAAAATGAGCCGTCATTTGATGTATCCCATTGTTATTTAAGGGTTTTATGCAACAAAACGTGTTTTTTATTCAATCACAATTATCTCAAAAACCTCATTTTTTAAAAATCTCAAATTTTCACCAAAAATCATTAGTAAGATGATGAAAATTTTGGCGGCAATTAAAGTTATTACTTCGCAGTGGTTGACTGCATTTTGATGGGTGAAATAAGCTGGAAATCTGAGAAAAAAAAATCACCTGAAAATATGCATCGAAAAAAACGAAAATTTTTGAAAAAATCATAACTTCCTTAATTTTCAATATTTTTGGGTGATTTTTTTTTCAAAATGTTCGCATTGAGGCCAACTTTTATGAAAAGAATTGGCGAGAAAAATCCGTCGGATCGACTTTTTTGACCTTGCATTTTGACGTGGATCTGCTCATATATGAATTGAATTTCCATTAACGTCGATTGATAGGGCATCAATACTCGCATTTTTTAATAAATGAGTATAGTTATTGGTGCTAATAAATTAGCTTCTGATTGGGTTCCCCCAGTCTTGATTTGCTTCTGAATGGGTTCTCTTTTTTAAATTCTCATTTCACTATTCTCTTCTTCTATTTTTTCATGTCATAGTACTATCATCAATTGAAATGTTATCAAAAATTTGGTTTTGGTGATGGATTATGTTATGGATATGATGGGGCCATCGCAAAGAATTCTTCAACTTCAACTTCATTTTTACGTATATAAAATTGCTGAAGATGGGGCTGGGAAAGAAGAGAAGTAATTGAAAGAGTACTAAAGTAATAGATATGTGAAATCGTGTATGGGCCTGGCAAAAAATTCACCAGGATATATTTGGCGATTAGAAGCAAATAAAAGAAGTATCGAGATCAAAGCGAGGAGAGGGCTCAAAATGTCTTCTCCGATTTAAAATGAGAATTCATAACAGAACTGAATCCACAGAGCTTGCATCGAAATACAGGAACGAAGTCTCACTCAAACTATTTGCATAATTACCGAGATGATTGTCGAGTTGGCACAGCATCTTTGGAACATTCTGATCCAATTCTGCACCCTCATTCTTTATCGGCTCCATATTCCATATGACAACTCTTCCAGAATCTCCCCCTGTGATTACAATAAGCATTGAAGACATTAAGTTGTACTAGGGTGAAATTTTGAAGTATTCGATTGACGAAAATAGCTATCAACTGACTTGATAGATCGTGGGGTATCTAAAAGAGTAAGAAAAATTTTGTACCCAACTCATTTTACCCCGTACGTCAAGCGCAACGTCGTTTTTCGTGTTTTTGGCTTTGAAATGATTTTTGCACCACAATTTTCCATGTTAGTTGAACATTTTTTTAAATACTAGATCTGTGCGCATGCTTCTCTTTTTGTTGCGAAAATGAAGAAATCGAATTTATTAAACTTCATATACTCATAGATGTTTTATAAATATTGATAATGACTTGAAGAGAATTAAGAGAATGAAGAGTGAAGCATCAATAAATAATTTTTAATCTTCGATTAATTCTTTTTTTTTACTTTTTAAAATAATCTGATTAAAATCTGTAATTGTTGGAAAATCAGGAGAGGGTGATGAATTGATTTCCTAGAAAACTGAAAAAATTTCTTGAATTCTTCGGAAAATTTCACAGTTTTCCAGATAACCGTAGATCACAGATTTTTCTCGAATTATTTGGGAAATCGAAGAATTTTCGTGAATTTTGTAGAGTTTAGAATTTATGTATGAAAATCTGAAAAGCAAGAATTGATCATTTTGGCGTGTGATAAATATGAAAAAATTAAAATTTGGGAAGTGAAGAATAATTTGTGAGATAAAAAAATTTAGAAATACTATGTTTTTTCATCTCATGCTCAACAATTAGGCAATTTAGATATGTTTTGATATAAAGATCAACTTCGCACATAAAAAAATGAAAAATATGACGCGGAAAAAATTTTTGGCATTTGAAGAATTTGAAAATACCNTCAACTTCACACATAAAAAAATGAAAAATATGACGCGGAAAAATGTTTTGGCATTTGGAGAATTTGAAAATACCGGATTTTTTTTCAGCGACTACTTCACGTGACTCATTGACCAATCAGAATTGAGGATTAGCGGTCAGGCAGTTTTGAGATATTTCGATATAAAACAACTTCACGTTTCTTTCATCTTTATAGTAAAAAAAAAAGGATTATCGTTACATTTCATAGAATGAGACTAGGTATTTTTTCGAGTATCGATAATTTTTCTCACTTTTTGCTTCCGAATGGACGCATTACAATCCTTCGATTTTCACATTCTCTAATTTTGATTTCAAATGATGTAGAATGGTCTGAAACGTATAAATACGAAGTTTGGCAACCATGTCTGTATGTGACCACGTCCACCGCCACCTTCCCGGTGGTCAATTTTTAGAAAATTGAGTAATTAAGTGGCTAAAGTAATTCCAAAAAATCTGAAATTTCGTCAGATTATAGGTCCTAATGAGGACTAGCTCTGTGCAAAATTTCAGCTCGATCGATCTAATAGTTTTAAAGAAAAAGCGATTCGTTTTGAAATCGTTTTCCGCAAATATCTTCAAAACTAATGGACCGATTTCGATTTTTTTGGTTTCAAAATATTCGTTCCAATGCCTTCTGTCTAAATCAATCAAAACATATATACCCGTTCATACAAAGTTTTCGAGATATCCGCGTTTTTCCGTTTTTTCATAAAAAACATTGAAAACACTCCAGCTTGTGCAACAATCGAGATATCAACTTGAAATTTGGACAGAGTCTTCCTCTCATGATAACAATATTTCGTATTGAAAATGGGTTCAATCGCATCAGTAGTTTCGGAGATATTCGATTTTTTCTGAAAATCTTTTACATGGAATATCTTCAAAACTACGCAACCGATTTCACTTTTTCTTTTTTCAAAACATTCATTTCGATGCCTTCGGTCTAAATCAATCAAAACATATATACTCGTTTATACAAAGTTTTCGAGATATCCGAATTTTTCCGTTTTTTCATGAAAAAAAACTTTGTGAACACTCTAGCTTGTGCAAAAATGGAGATATCAACTTGAAATTTGGACAGAAAATATGTAGACGCGCTCATACGAAGTATTCTAAACATGGGAATTTTGATAGCACCCATGGAGGTGGCAGTAACCATCTGAAATTTTCGCTGCTAGTTAGTGTTGTGAAGCTATAAACTTTTGTAATATTTCAGACCAATCGGACGTCCGCCATCAATGTACTGAATAAAATATAAGACATCATTCAGTGACATGCTCACTGTCACATGGCGCGCTGTCATATGCTTGCTGTCCCCGGCTTGTTTATTTTGGCATCCCATGATATATTAAGAGTCACTCGATAGCTATCTTGATCAAACGATGATTTTTGAATTTCACCTTCGTACCCCCTTAAAAAATAAATTATTAGGGGAACATATATAATTATATATATATATTTTCTTTATTGACAAGTATTATTAATCCATCGTTGGATTATTTACATAACTTCATTCGAGCATTATTTTCACATGAACTTTGGTTTTTCTGTTAACTTGTATAGTTGTTATAGTTGTCAACTTGTGTTAGTTGCTATGATCATATTTTTAAGGGTGCCAAGTGAATTTGAAAAAAGATTCAAAAAATTTTTTTTCTTTCCCTCCATCATTGGAGAAATATGTATTCATCCATCCGACGAAATTTCAAATCCGCAACCGGAACTAGACATCGAGAAAATAAATGCGGAAAATCCTCTATTTCGCGTGACGAACCTCGAGATAGCATGGGATTAAATGGGTACGGCGGGTTGAAATATCTCTCTTATTCACCCCGGTACCCCATTGTTTTTTGTCGCCATCACATTGAACACATCATTCCCCATATCTTCAAATTTTTTCAAATTTTTCTTGAGTTCCTAGGGGGTTGAAACGTTCAATTTAATCAAAACTCCATAAGAGGCCGTGTATAAGACTGATTTTGTTTATTTAATTTCTCGATATCCATAAGTTCTAAAATTTTAAAATTGTCACCGATGTTCACCATCTGTCTAATACTATTAATTTAAAAAATTATAACTTTGTTGGTGAATGTCAATTTTCACGGTCATCGCCAAATTCATTTGGCACCCTTAAATTCTTATATCATTACTTTTAATGAAATCGTGAATAATTTTCAAACTCCTAGAGTCTCTCTCTCTGCCAGGAATGTGGCTATGGTATGTGGCCTAGAAGTTTTTATTTTCAATAACTTATCGAACATTTTGTCCCGATTCTTTGAGAAGTCCGGGCATTCCCAGATCACGTGATTGACGTACTGTTCCGCTGCACCATGTCCACATTCCGGGCTTTCTATTATTCCTAAGGTGAACATATAGAAACACTTGAACAAATTTCTTGGTACTTGCCTTGACCACCTGTGGCGAACCTCTTGCCATCGGGATGAATATCCACTGAGAATATCGGATATTCTGCCACAACAAAAGAATTATTCAACTTCACGAGCAATGCAATTGCAATAATTAGCTCTTCATTAAAATTTTTGATGAATAAGTAGTTAACATTTTCAGCGCCTGCGGAACAGGCTTAAAAATAGTTAATTTCGTTATTATTTTAATAAAAACTTGCACCATTCATGTAAAATAGCCCGAAAAATATTTCTGAAAGAATCAAGAATATTTTTTTAATAGATTAAAAATAATTTTTCTGTTTATTTTACATGAATGACGCATATTTTTATAATAAACGAAACGAAATTAGCTGTGTAGGAGTCGAATTTCCGCAAACTAATTCGTAATTCGTAATTCGTAAACAATGTTAAAAATAGTACAGGGTCTCCAATTTTTGAGTTACAGAGTTTTTTTTCAAAATTTTTGAAAAAATGTGTACGAAAACAGTGACAAATTAGTTTTTTGTAATTCGACTCCTACACAGCTCATATCGTTTTGTTTAATATAAAATTTGCGTCATTCATGTAAAATAAGCAGAAAAATTATTCTTAAAATATTAAAAATAGGGGAGGTTGGGGTAAAACGAACACTTTTGACTTTTCTTAAAATGTTAATGAGAGGTTGAAATGTAGATGAAATTTAATAATTTGTTTTTCAATACAAAAACAATTCTTTCCCTTTGTGACGAGCCTAGACTGAGCTCAATTGATAAATTTGTTTCTGAGTTATGAACAATTAAAAAAAAGTCTAAAGTGTCCATTTTACCCCACCCTCCCCTACATTCTCGATTCTTTCAGAAATATTTTTCGGGCTATTTCACATGAATGATGCAATTTTTTATTAAAATAACAACGAACTTAGCTGTGTAGGGGTTGAATTTCAAAAAGCTCATTCGTAATGGTTATTGTACATATTTTTACAAAAATCTTGTAAAAAAAAACCACTGTAGCTAAAAAAAATAGAGGCCCTGGACCATTTTAGGGGGAGACTACTGTGAGTTTTAAAAGTCGTGGGTTATTGGAGTGAGAATTTTCATACGTTGAAGATCGATTATATAGATCTGAAAACGAGTAATTAGTGCAAACATTTTTTTTTTTATTGTTCGTTTGCCCGAAACCGCTTAAAATGCTAAAAACAGTTCAGGGCCTCCAACTTTTGAGCTACAAAAAAATTTTTTTTTCAAAATTTTCGGAAAAATGTGTGGAACAACAATTACGAGCCAGTTTTTTGGAATTAAACTCCTACACAGCTGATTTCGTTTTTTTTTCATATAAAAAAATTTACTATTTGTGTAAAGAAATACAAAAAAAGCAAACTTAACCATGTAAGAGGTGAATTAAAAAAAACTAGCTCTTAATTGTTATTCCACATATTTTTCCGAAAATTTTGAAAAAAACAAATCATTCGTAGCTCAAAAATTTGAGGCCCTGGACTGTTCTTATCATTTTAAGCGTTTCCGGGCAAACGAACAATAAACAAAAGTTTTTTTGCACTAATTATTCATTTTCAGATCTATATAATCGATCTTCAACGTATGAAAAGTCTCACTCCAATAACCCACGACTTTTAAAACTCACAGTAGTCTCCCCTTCAACATTTTAATCGTTTGTGGGGTAAACGAACAATAAACAATTATTTTTTTGCCTATTTATTCGTTTTTAGACATATATAATCGATCTTCAATGTATGAGAAATCTCATTCCAATAGCCCGCGACATTTAAAATTCATAGTAGTCTCCCCTTAAAATGAGATCGTCATCCAAGTCATAAAGTACTGAAAATACACAAGTGGTTTCATCTAAAAAAAATTCTGAAATTTTTGTGAAACCATTTTTCATAGAGAAACGCAAAAGCTGCAGGAAACATCTTTACAAAAATTTCGATATCTCCCTTCAACATCCAGATGTCCCCAAAATACCCTCTTGGTAATTGCTAGGCCCCTCAAGCTCAACTCAGAGGTTATTCTTGTAGCGAATAATACCCCAAAGCATTCAACTCAATCTTTCCCATAGTTATTTGGTAGGGGAGGTTCGGGTAAAATGGACACTTTGGGCTTTTTTAAAAATGTTAATGACAGGTTGAAATAGTGACGAAATTTAATAACTTTTTCTCAATGCAAAGAGCAATTCTTGCCCTTTGTGGTGAGCCTAAACTGAGCTCCATTGATAACTTTGTTTCTGAGTTATGAGTAATTAAAAAAAAGTCTAGTGTCCATTTTACCCCACCCACCCCTACGTCTAGAATATGTCTCGAGGAAATAAAATTAATACTGATATTTGAGAACGTTGCAAAGCCAAAAAATCCCACAGGGCCAAGGGCCTATAATATAATTTTCAACCCGACAGTAGGAGTGGGGCAAACACACCGTCTTGAATGGTCAATATCTCCAGATTGGCAGAGTCGAATCCAATGAATTTTGGGCCATTTCCCAGCTCCACTCGGAGCATCAAAACTGGACTGAATTCGTCAGAATCGTACCATTTGCCCCGGAGATATTCGAATTTTGGAGAGTTAATTGTTCCCAATTCCGTCCCTCATCAGTTCTCCTCCAAAATTTTCCCAATAAAAAAATACTCAAACGCTTACCATCGTGGGTAACCCAATTCGGCTTGACCAGTTTCATATTTTGTCACTTAACACACCACAAAATCACAAAAAAACCCGTCTCATACCGTCCAAAGCACACACATCAATCTACCTACACAGATCAGTGGACAATCTAAATAACACTATGCAAATATATCTCATGTAAAAAATTATGATCCAATTGTTTAAATGACGTTCATAACCTCTACTATGTAAACTGAACATTCATGCCGGACTTTCAACGACGCACCATGGTGGCACTATTTGGGAGATGGCGCTGAAAATAGCGAAATTAAAACCCTCTGATCAACAATCGAGTGTTTAACTCTCACCCAGCAACAAATGAGTGATAGATAACCAAAATCTTCGTTCAGAAACTCGAAAAAAGCTCCTGAGAATGTGAATCAATTTTTCCCCCTGGATTTCGCGAGTCAACAGAGCCTTGGAGGTTGAACAACCCTCGAGAGAGATGTTGCACGAGCTGCTGTTGTCCCTCTGGGGATGCTCGACGAGTCTGGAAAAAATTGTCGAGACTGACGTAAGTGAAAAAACCCTTCCATTCAATGAAAACGTCATGAACGAGTTGATCGAGGTAGATGAGTAAAACGTACGGTTTTCAATCGTCAGTAACTGGAGACCGGCAGAGTGAAATTGGGAGTTTTTTTTTCATTTTGAAGATATTTTTTCAGAGTTTGAAATGAGGTCTGATTTATTTGAATCGTATCGTTGGGGCAGGAGATATTGAGGATTTTAGAAGGTTCGTTGTACCTCATCTCCACCTACTCCACTCGTTTGTAATGATGATCATAATGATTATTATTATCCTTTAATTATTATGGTTTTCCCACAATGATCGTCATCATAATAATTATCATCATCCCTTCATGATGATAATTATCCGTCGACTATAATTATGGCAATCCTGAAGATAATTCAGATTATCAAAATTAAAAAAAAACAACCAAGATCACGTTGGGGAGATTAAACACGCGGGCCTTAATTTTAATTAATAGCGATAGATAGGATTCCACAATAGTTGCATTTGAGAAAAAAAAAGATTCAATTCCATCGATTAATTAGCGAACATACTTATGGACACACTGAGAAAAAGAAAACTTTTGCCAAGTATATTTACCAACTACAAGAAAATTTCCACGTGTCTTATGCAGATATTTATATAAATTTACTTGTGGCAAGTAAATATACTTGGCAAAGGCAATTTTCTTTCCCAATGCACGGTCTAAAATAGTATGTTTCGTAGCGAGTGCGGAAAAGTGTTTTTTGCCTCGCCTTCGGCTCGTGCTATAAACCTCCCACGAGCTAAAAAACACTGGCTCCGGTACGTTTGGTCCAAAATCTTTTGGTCCAATCTTTTTTCGTCCAACGTCAGTTCGTCCAATGAAGTTTTTGGTCGAATTTTATTTCGTCCAATCATTCTTTAGTCCAATATTTTCTTTGTCCAATGTAATTTTGGTCCAAAAAAATGCGGATTATTTTGGGAAATGGGAAATTATGTAGGGATTTTTTTTCAACATTTCAAGTAATTGAAACAATTTTAATGGCAGACATTTGGAACATTTAAACTTTTGAAAACACTCTTTTTTAACAATGACATTTCTGGCATACAATTTTAAGGGAAAAAAAGAAACAAAAACGAAAAATGCAGCATTTGGAACATTTAAACTTTTGAAAACACTCTTTTTTAACAATGTAATTGTAATTGGTTTTGAGTTTCTCGGGTTTGTGTTTGTATTTACCTGTGTTTATGGTGTATTTATGCTGTTTAATCTGGGCCGAATTGGACCTATTACTCATTGGACGAAATGATTTTTGGACGAAATGAATTTTTGGACGAAGTGATTTTGGACGAAATGTCATTGGACGAATTGTTTTTGGATCAAATGACCCCTATCCAAAAACACTTTTCCCACGAGTATCGAACGATATTTTTCATCTCAATGTGTGGAAAAGGGACGTTTTAGGCACGCGAAGCGTGCCGAAAAAGTTACTTTTTCGCACAGCGTGATGAAAATTACATACTATAACAAAATCGATTTCATCCAATCCAATTTTGGTTTAGTTCAAATCGATATTTGTGTCTTACAATAGCGTTTGTTTTGCGACTATTCAATCGATGAACGATTTGGATCAATCATAGAATTTCTGAGTCATTGCATGCCCGGCATTTGATATCCATATAGCCACCTTTACCCTCTCTCACTGCATTGCCACATCTCCATCTAGTCCAGAAAAATTGATTGTTAATAAATTATTTATAAACAATGCTCGTAATTTTCAAAAATAATAATTTTCAAATCATATCCTCAATCTTCCTCCCAAAGTAAACGTTCTAATTTTTTTTCAGATTTTTAAAATGTTTTCTAACGCTTTAATATCGAGACTCAAATTCAGACCAGCAAAGTTTGCCCAATAAAGTCATTGTAAAATGTCCGGAAACTTAGGGCTAAATGGGGCTCCAATGAAAGCTCTGATATTCGACTACAAAAGTAGAAAACCATTTCACTGGCGAAAAAATAGTCAAAGTACTTTACTTGGATACCCTTAAATTTGAACGATTCCACTACAAAAATCTCTAAAACAAAAAAAAAGTAATTTTTCATCTTCTCCAGTCAGTCCTCCTGAATAAGTACTTCCACCCAGGTGAGCGAGGCCAGATAAAAAATATTCTCCACATCTCGTCGCTCTACAAAACAATTCAGACAGGCAAACAATTACGTCGACTTATCTCCCAGTTGAGTTTTTGAGGAATATTTCCGAATCTAAGAGATATAGCGAAATTTTTGTAATTACATTTGTTGTAGCTCTCAATCGGCTCTACAAAAAAGATTATAATGAAAATTTTGCTATCTCCCTTAGATTCCGAGATGTTCATTGAAAACTGGTCAATAGTCAAAATTAACTTATACCGTTTTACCACTTCGCTACTGATATCATCAGTCATCCTCCCAAAGTAAATGTTCTAATTTTCTTCAACTTTTTTAAATGTATTCTAACAGTTTAATATCGAGATTCAAATTCAAACCTACATAGTTTAAATAATAAAATCGTTGTGAAATGTCCGGAAACTTAGGGTCAAATGGGGCTCAAATGAAAGGCGAAAAAATACCCAAATTATTTGGATAAAAAAAAAATCTGAATGTTAAAAGTTTACCTAGACCCAAGTAGTTAGTATTAGACAAAAGATAATTTGTACCTTTTTTTGTTTTGTAAATAACCCATCAGGGTTGATGCTACAATAAAAAAAAAATTACTTGGATATCCCTAAATTTGAACGATTCCACTGCAAAAATCTTTAAAACAAAAAAAAGTAATTTTTCATCTTCTCCAGTCAGTCCTCCTGGACAAGTACTTCCACCCAGGTGAGCGAGGCCTGATAAAAAATATTCTCCACATCTCGTCGCACTACAAAACAATTCAGACCTTCATAAAAACCTACTCCTCAACAAACGACCTGGAGAACGCCAATGAAACCGAGGCCCTCCCCCAGGGTGTCTACCTCCAGGCGTTCTGCGACGGTCTCGACAAGTCCCTGGAGCCCTTTCGCGACGAAATCGTCGACCTGGAGAGAACCATCCTCCACAATGCCCACACCCCCGCCACGACAATCCTCTCGAGGGTGGAGAACTTCGAGTACCTCTTCGTCCTCCTCAACTCGATAATACGCCAGATAAAGACCCAGAGGACCCATGGGACGTGCTTACTCCAGTGCATCCACGAGCACATGCACACGGGCATTCCCGAGGTGAAGACCGCCCTTCAGAAGATTCTGCACTGCGTCCATGCGGTATTCTACAAGCAGCTGACGAGTTGGCTACTGTATGGCCAGCTCGAGGATGTCCACAATGAGTTCTTCATCAGGAGAACGAAGAACACCCACGAGAGCCTCCTGCTGGCGGACAGCAAGAACAGCTCAGGCCAGAGGACCAAGAAGTGCGATGACATGTGGAATTATGATATTGCGGTGGAGATGCTGCCTTCCTACATCACTCCGTCACTCGGCAACAAGATATTGAGCATTGGGCAGACGATTATCATCTTTGGGAATGATCCTAGACAGGACAAAGGTGAGGAATAACTTCTTCAGACATCAGCGTAATTATGATTTTTTTAACAAAATACATTTTTTAATTAGTCAGTTGATGTTACTCAGTAATTTTTTAATTGTTAAATTAATCAGCAATTAAATTATTCGAATTCCGAATTATTTATGATATTAGTTATTTTGGTTAATTAGTCAATATTACTCAACTATTTTTCAATTATTAAATTAATCGTCAAGTAAATTACTCAAATTCAGAATTATTTATCAAACAATAATTGAGGTCGAAGATTGACAATTATTTGGGAAATCCAAAATCCTTTCATGAAATTTCGACTTACTCACTCAATAGTGAATTGAAAATTTAGATTATCCATTATTTTAGTCAATTAGTTGATATTACTCAAACACTTTTGTATTATTAAATCAATCATCAATTAAATTATTCAAATTTCGAATTATTCACTCAATAGTGCATTGAAAATTTCGATTATCAATTATTTTGGTCAACTAGTTAATATTACTCAACAATTTTTTCATCATTAAATCAATCATCAATTAAATTATTCAAATTTCGAATTATTTTATCAAACAATAATTGAGCTTGGAAGATTGACAATTATTGACAATTACATGAGTATTTATTTATATTTTTATTTCAACTGCTTTAGAGGTACAACCTTGCAGCAGGATAACCATACAAAAATAAGCTGACTGATGAAAGTCCATAAAAAACAACTCGAACTTTGCCATTACATTAATAAAAATACAAAAGAATCTTAAGAACGAGAAGGTTCTCACGAGCGAGGAGAAGAGGGGGGGGGGGGGGGGGTAGGTTCAATTTAAAAAGCCAAAAAATTGTGAAGATCCATAAAGTACAAAAGGCACTAGTCATAGGCCCGGTTGCACCAGCTCCGGGTAACGAAAACATCAGATAATAAAAAAAGTAAATTTGGATGTTCGATGGATTATTTTACTCGGGAGAGTATCTTAAATTCATCCCAGGAACAAAAAATAAAACTTAATCCCAAGGTTACATCAGTGTTAATTTAAATGGGGCTACAGGGTGAATAAAAAATGATTCTTCGGGTCAAATATTGAATAATTATGAACTCGACGATATAATTGATCCCGAGAATAAATTTTACCCTGGGGTTTATTTGGATAACAGGGCTTGGTGCAACCGGGCCTTAGTCAGCAAAATAAGATGTCGATGTACAGATAAATAATAATATACAATACGAATACAATTGAAAAACTTGAAATAGTTTGTTATGAGCTGACAGCTGAGTTGTTTTACAACAAATTTTGGAAATAAATTTTTTTCAAATGGGGATGTCTTTGGATATCTATTCAACAATCCTGCTGATAAATGAAGAATAATAATAAATAATATAATCCAACAAATGAATAAATAAGTAGCAAAATGAAGAAAACAATGCAAAACCAATGGAAAACAACTGAACTGTAATAAAGTGAAGAAAAAAATTGACAATGACCATTATCAAGTCATTAACGTAGAATAGGTACTCTAATGACTTCGAAAAAATAAACAATAGTATTCCCCTCCATTAATTTATTTTCCACTCTCCCTAGACTACAAAATGAAAGCCGAAATCACTAAAAATCCGGTCTGGGGTGAGAAGGAGCACGAGTACTTCGGAAAGCTCCAGAATCTCCAGATGAAGCCTGTCTTCAACGTGATAGAGTTCGAGCGAACGATAGACGAGCTGAAGAAGTGCGTCACGAGGCTTCTGTGGCAGGTGGCAGTGGACGATGCTCAGTTGCTCCAGCAGATAAAATTGATCAAGGACTTCTACCTCATCGGTAGGGGAGATCTCTTCCTGGACTTTATAAAACTGACTTCGCACATTCTCAGTAAGCCTCCGACGAGCCACACCTCGAGGGACATCAATTTGGCCTTCCAGATGACGATGAGGCGAGTCATGTTGCATGATGAGAGTGCAGTCGATAGCTTCAACTTCATGCTGCCATCGCCTAAAGCTGAGGGAAGTGGAGGTCAAGGGAGTGGACAGGGCCAGCAGAAGGACAGAGAGGATCCCATTGGTAATTTATTTTTGATGATTAAGGGGAGACTACTGTGAATTTTAAAAGTCGTGGGCTATTGAAATGAGATTTTTCATACATTGAAGATCGATTATACGGCTAGAAATGAATAATTAGTTGTTCGTTTGCCCCGCAGGCGCTTAAAATGTTAAGAATAGCCTCCAATTTTTGAGCCACAGAATTTCTTTTTCTTTCAAAATTTTCGAAAAAATGTGTGGAATAATCATTGCGGATTAGTTTTTTGAAATTCAACTCCTACACAGCGAATTTTGCTTTTTTAAGACCCGGGTGGATTATCTTTCGAACGTGATCTTGGTTGTTTTTTTATTTTGATAATCTGAAATGATCTCCATTTGCTATACAGTTTTACATAGCCCTGGAGTTTCCAAAAATTACCATTGTACAATCAAAAAAGCGTTGAAAAAAAGCTGAACATTTTCAAAGAGTAGGATATGGATCACAGGATGGTAGAATGACAGTACAAAATACTAATACATTGTCAATTCGCGACGTTTCGTTTTGTATCAAAGCTTCCTCCAGCTCTGGAAACCAGACAAATCAATTACAATACTTAAAAAAATATATATATAACGAGTCATACAATATCTCTGTAGTATTTTCAAAGAGTGTTTTTAAATAATATTGGAGAATAAAGCCAATAGGGAGGACATTGCAAATTAATAATTTGATATATCTGATGGCTATTAGGTCATCATTTGTCACAGTAGTCAATGGCTATCAGATCGCTTGTTACCATGGTAAATTATCCATTCGCTATTTCCTCTCTATCGAACTTATTTCTTAATCTTTATTAAAAACACTATTTGAAAATGTTCAGTTTTTTGTCTACTTTTTTTGATTGTACAATCATAATTTTTAGGAGCTCCTGCGAGATGTAAAATCCAATAGAAATTGTGATATATTTCACATTCTGAAGATGGAAAAACAATCGAGATAACGTTCGAAAGATAATCCACCCGGGCCTTAAATAAAATAAAATATACTTAAAATATTTTTAGGATAATTTTTCTGCCTATTTTACATGAATGGCGCCAGTTTTTACATTAAACAAAACGAAATTAGCTGTGTAGGAGTCAAATTTCAAAAAACCAATTCGCAACTGTTATTGTACACGTTTTCGAAAAATTTGGCAAACGAACGATAAAGAATTGTTTTTTTGCATTATTATTCGTTTTTAAACATGTATAATTGATCTTCAATGCATGAGAAATCTCACCCCAATAGCCTGCGACTTATAAAAATCATTGTAGTCGCCTCTTAATTCACCTCGATTAACTGACTTGTGATGAATTAATTTCACAGATAAATTGGGGTGGGGCATGATAGTCCTTCAGTACCGAGTGGTCTGGCCTCTGCAGCTTCTCTTCAGCCCCAAAGCCCTCAACAACTACAACACAATCTTCAGGTTCCTTCTGAGGGTTAAGAAGACACAGATCAATCTGTGGGGTCTGTGGACCGAGCACACACGCACCAAGAACATCGACATTGGAGTCCTCCAGTTTCGAAACAACCTCATCTTCATTCTGGATAATCTGCAGTATTACCTTCAGGTGGACGTCCTGGAGAGCCAGTACACGGTTATGGAGAACTGCATGAAGAGTACTGAGAATTTTGAGGATGTGCAGAGGGCACATTCGGTTTTTCTGGCGAATATCATGTCTCAGACGTTCTTGTTGGGGAATACTGAGGAGCACAGCAATCCAGTAAGTTGGAAGGGTCGACGGTTTTTTGGGAGTATCGCGAAAATTAATGAATTCAGGAGAAAACGTCATAAGATATTTTTTGTGGTCTATTAAATTTTCTACTAAAATTGTTTTATGACATTTTTTCATAGAATCACTCATTATTGGGATAATTGCGTAATTACCAACAACTGCATGAAGAAAACTAAAAAATCAAAGGTTTAACAATGTTTGAGAATGTTGAAAATATCTTGAAAACCACTAGGTTTATCAAAAAACTTCATACGAACTTTATTGTAGATCTCGAAATCGTCTATAAAAAATATTATGTGTCATTTTACCCTGGAATCACTCATTACAGAGATAATTGCAGAATTATCCACAACTGCGTAAAAAACTAAAAAATCGAATCTTTCAAGTTATTTTGCAATTTCGTCGATATCTCGAAAACCACTAAATTTATCAGAAAAAATTATAATAGCTTTTTTGAAGATGATGAGATTCTACATAAAAAACCGCTTGTCACATTTCTCCCTAAAGTCCATTCCTCAAACGTTATCCCCCCACAAACTCATAAAATCACTTAATCCCCCAGGTAAATGGTCTTCTTCGTCTTCTCCTTCGTCTCTGCGACGACTTCATTCTCCAGGCCTCGATGTGGGAGGTGACAAACCTCCTCAGTACGGAAAAAGAGGAGCTTAAAATGCTGACAGACACATTATCAAGCCTCATGAACGTTCTCATTCAGACCCTGAACAAAGTTCGAGCCCAGCCAAGTGGAAAGCATCTCGCTCAACTACTCCTTCGCCTGGACTTCAATCGCTGGTTCAGCCAACAAATCCAATAATTCAATCATGAAAACCTTAAAATACAGTATTTACTGTGGAAATTGTTTAACAAGTGCTATAAAACGTATTAAATACTCCATTGACGATCAGAAAGCACTCAATACTCAATGGATTGAATGTAATTAGTTTCGTTGGTTAATAAATAGGAGGAGGATTCTTTCAATTGATCAATCACTGTCGTCGTTGTAGTCCTCAGCACTGTATCCGTAATCCCTGTCGCAGTTTCGCTGGCTCATTTGAATGGAGTTGATTATTGCAGGGTCTGTTGTCAACTCCTCGGCTAGTAGATTATCGTTATTTCTCAGGGCTGGGCTGGCTCCTGAGTCCAGGAGGAGGTTTACTACTTCTAGGTGATTGTGGACTGACGCCACGTGCAGTGGAGAATCTCCCATTTTGTTCTGAAAATTTAATTGCATAACTCCTTAAAATAATTCGATTCAATCGAAATTAAAAATATCAATTCCATGAAAATTTTTCATCTCGTGTAATGTTTTTTATTTCATTACTTGAAAATTTGGCGTTTCACGTGAATTTAATGAATTAAATGAATTAGATACTTTAATTAAATTCGATACTTTAATTAAACTCCTTAAAATAATTCGATTCAATCGAAATTAAAAATATCAATTCCATGAAAATTTTTCATCTCGTGTAATTTCTTTTATTTCATTACTTGAAAATTTGGCGTTTCATGTGAATTTGATGAATAAAATGAATTAGATACTTCCATTAAATTCGATACTTTAATTAAACTCCTTAAAATAATTCGATTCAATCGAAATTAAAAATATAAATTCCATGAAAATTTTTCATCTCGTGTAATTTCTTTTATTTCATTACTTGAAAATTTGGCGTTTCATGTGAATTTGATGAATAAAATGAATTAGATACTTCCATTAAATTCGATACTTTAATTAAACTCCTTAAAATAATTCGATTCAATCGAAATTAAAAATATAAATTCCATGAAAATTTTTCATCTCGTGTAATTTCTTTTATTTCATTACTTGAAAATTTGGCGTTTCACGTGAATTTAATAAATTAAATGAATTAGATACTTTAATTAAATTCGATACTTTAATTAAACTCCTTAAAATTATTCGATTCATTCGAAATTAAAAATATCAATTCCATGAAAATTTTTCATCTCGTGTAATTTCTTTTATTTCATTACTTGAAAATTTGGCGTTTCACGTGAATTTAATGAATAAAATGAATTAGATACTTTAATTAAATTCGAATGATTACAGTGCATGACAATCGATCGTTTTATTCAAATTTGTATTGGTTTTTATGCTTTGTTCTTCGTCAGAAAAAACAAAAAAAATGGAAAAATTGGTGGAGATAATTTACTTGAGCATTGATTCCAGTGTTTTGGAGACTTAGAAGGTGTCTGACACAGTCTACATGGCCTGCACGTGCTGCCCAGTACAGAGGAGTGTTGCCAGCAGAGTCCAGGCCTGTTGGGGACACCCCTTGCCTCAGACACTCGAGGAGAAATGAGATGTTGCCTCGCCTGGCTGCCTCGTGAAGGGGCAACTCCACTTGCTCCATTTGTTCCTCAACTGTTGATATTATTTTGAAAATATCGATGGTTTAAATTATTCCGGAGATATCTCTGGACGTACTGGTTTCATCGAAACCATTACATGCCATTTTAGTAAAAGATTTAATTCTCCACAAGAAGTTCATGTGATATTTTACTCTAGATCCGCTAGTTTCTAAGATATTTGCCAAATAGTTTTTGCTATAAAACAGACAATATTCAGGTAATGAAGCAAAATTAAAACTTTTTTGGAAATATCTCTGAGCCCATTTGATTTATGAGAAAACATCGCGACTGCAAAAATCATCGACAATTTACTTTCCGAATATCTCCAAAATTGCTCGATTTACTGAAAAATGTCATAAGACATCTTAAATAGAAAAATTAATTCTCTACAAAAGAGCTCTTGTGACATTTCCCCCTGGACCCACCCCTGCCGCAGATATTTCCAAAATAAGCCATAACAAAATTATAAACTCATTCCTTCCACCATCATCTCGCCAATCCCTTAGCAAATTCCTTCAATTAATGAATAAACTTCAATAATTATGATATTCACCATAGTTAGAGGGTATCAGCCCCTCCTTTTCCCCACATTTGGCTTTCCACCAGTTTGGATCGGTGTCAAGATCATGAACATACAGCAACTGACCTTCCTCAAACGATAACTCATCCGCCTGTGGATAATCGAAATCCCTCAATTAATAATCCCCACGTGATTCTAAAATCATTAGCTTACATGTTGAGCTGTGTAATTGTACAGTGCTCTCACAACTTTGACTTTTCCTGGGGACAATAAACACAAAATAATGTTATCGACATGTTGACCACAAAAACTAGGTTAGGAATCAATTCCCTTATTTTGACTGTGATTGAACAATTTTCGTGCAATATCCCTCGATTAATTATTAGCCCATCATATTATTGTGAATCACAAATTAATGACATAATTTTATTTAGTGAATACCTGGCCTTCTGACCGGTTTGGGGGGCTGAGGGGACTTCGTAGACGTCTTCCCTGTCGCCATTATGACTCAAAACTGATTCAAAACTTCTTATCACTAATTATTTACGATAAGGCCTTCAATGCTGAAAATGTCGACTATTTGCAATGCAAAGAGGAAGATTATTAAGGGATCTCCTCAGTATTTTTTGCCACAAAACGACAATGTGCTGGCGCACTGAATATGTCATATAATAATCAAGAATATGGTAAAAGGAAAATTGTAAAAAAAACTCTTAGGACCGGTTGCACCAGCTCCGGGTAACGAAAACTTTAGATAAGAAGAGAAGTAAATTTGGATGTTGGATGGATTATTTTACCCGGGAGTGTATCTCAAATTTATCCCAGGAACAAAAAATTAAATTTAATCCCAAGATTAAATCAGTGTTAAAGGGTGCCGAGTGAATTTGAAAAAAGAATAAAAAAAAATGTTTCTTTCCCTCCATCATTGGAGAAATATGTATTCATCCATCCGACGAANTTTTTGTCGCCATCACATTAAACACATCATTCCCCATATCTTCAATTTTTTTCAAATTTTTCTTGAGTTCCTAGGGGGTTGAAACGTTCAATTTAATCAAAACTCCATAAGAGGCCGCGTATAAGACTGATTTTGTTTATTTAATTTCTCGATATCCATAAGTTCTAAAATTTTAAAATTGTCACCGATGTTCACCATCTATCTAATACTATTAATTTAAAAAATTATAACTTTGTTGGTGAATGTCAATTTTCAAGGTCATCGCCAAATTCACTTGGCACCCTTAATTCAAATGGGGCTATAGAGCTACACGTATGAAAAAATCGTATATGATATTCGGATATTTCTATACGAATTATTTCTATACATAAATTTTTACATAAATTTTTCTTTTCATACGAAAGATGTATACATGCTCCAGAGAAAAACGTAGAGAAATGTCGCAACTCCATACGAAATGTTTCTATACATGTGGCAGTGACTCGTATAGGCGCAAACCTATAGAAATCGTATGGAAATAATTTAGTGGGCCATTAGGAGGCATTCACTTTTTTACTTTTTCCAAATACGTTTGAGAGTTCTGAATAGCCCGTCGCTTGAATGATTGGAATCAACTCATAGATCCTTGAATATCCTGAATTTCTCAATGAGTTCTATATGTATAACCCGTCATTTTTTTACACCAAATAAATATACATTTCACTTTTTTCGCTCTAATAGCCGGAAAATATTAATTAAAATTTAGGGGAGGTTGGGGTAAAACGGACACTTGACTTTTTTTTAATGTTAATGAGGAGGGGTTAAAATGTTGATAAATTTTTTTTTTTCAATATAAAGAACAATTCTTTCCCTTTGTGACGAGCCTAAACTGAGCTCAATTGATAAATTTGTTTCTGAGTTATGAATGATTTAAAAAAAGTCTAGTGTCCATTTTACCCCACCCGCCCCTACTAATGTATTTAATTTTGTCAGGGCGGATGGGTAAGTGTCCTTTTGGAGCTCTAACTTTCCAGAATACTGAACCTAGAGTAGAGTCAAAGGAACCAGAAAAACACTGCTAGATCGATCTCACGTTCCTGGGCATAGCATCTTTCAGGATCTTCCGAAGACGCTATAATGGCCGGGAAAAAAACACTAAAATTTGCTAATGTATTTATTTTTGCCCGGGCGGATGGGTAAGTTTAATCCTTTTGGAGCTCCAACTTTTCGGAATACTGAACCGAGAATAGAGTCAAAGGAACCAGGAAAACACTACTACACGGAGAGAAATCTTTAATAAAAATTATCCTACCATTCTATAAAAGTGTATCATGAGTCACCGTTTCCTCATTTCTATTCCGAAATTTAGTAAAAATTAATATATGATGATCAAATTTTATTCTACGTTAGAGAAATTTTATCCTGATAAAAATAAAACTTACCGTGTCAGTAGAGTAAAAATTACTGCACCGCTAGGGTAAAATTTACCAACCGTTCTAGAATTTTCGTTCTTATCTACATGAAAATTATTGGACTGGAAGGGTAAAATTTATTATGTCAGGATAAAATTCCTCTAACGTAGAATAAAATTTGATAATCATATATTAATTTTTACTGAATTTCAGGATAGAAATGAGGAAACAATGACTCATGATACACTTTTATAGAAGGCTAGGATAATTTTTATCAAAAATTTCTGTCCGTGTAGATCGATCTCACGTTCCTTGGCATACCTTCTTTCAGGATCTTCCGAAGACGCTATAATGGCCGGAAAAAATTAATTAAAATTTTCGGTAATTACAGCATATAACTTCTCCAACTCGTAAATTCAAATTTCATTAATAATTAAATTCTACACCATTAGAAATACTATTGTGACAAATTTCAGGTGTTGGACTCGAATATTAGAGATTCTGCGAGTGGCAGATAGCTCTAAGGCGTGATAAGTGCACTCGTTGTATTACGGTTTCTTGCTTCAATAAACAACCATCATGATACTGGAAGATTTGTACGACCTTTGTCGAGAGAATCAATCAATGAGTGAATTCCTTAGAGACAAAGAGTAGGGGAGGTTGGGGTAAAATGGACACTTGACTTTTTTAAAAATATTAATGACAGGTTGAAATGGTGATGAAATTTAATAATTTTTTTTCAATGCAAAGAACAATTCTTGCCCTTTGTGATGAATCTAAACTGAGCTCCATTGATAAATTTGTTTCTGAGTTATGAGTAATTAAAAAAAAGTCTAGTGTCCGTTTTACCCCACCCTCCCCTACTTAAGTCTCAGGCTGGGTGTTCGGAATGTGATTAACTCATGTATACGGACTACGAGATGAGATTATTCAGATGTGAAAGGACAAATAATATTACTGATGGGCAACGTAAACGTAGAAAAATCAGATGTCACAAGTCTTTCAGAGTCTTAGAAAGCTCGTGGTTTTCTGGATTGAAGACAGACTTGAAGAAATTATTCATAATTGTATTCCTGTCCATGTACAGCGATACATGCACACAGGAATTCCCTCTGAAGAGAGCAGGACTTCTATATCAACAGCGCGCCGTGTAATTCACTGTATTATAATTAACGAGGTATTGGATCGTTGAGTCACCGACTGTAACACAGTAAAGTTAGGGGGTAGAGGCAGGATTGGGCGTGTAAATTACGTTGGTCAATTACACCGTTTTTTACCGACGTAATTTACGTAAATTACCTCGACGGGTTTTTTACATTTTTTACATTCCTTCGAAAAGCTTGCAATTTTTGCAAGCTTGCGATTACTAGAATGTTTTATTTTATTCCGCGTGACAAAGACGCAGTATTGGACACATAAAAAATAGTATATTGTGGCCCGAGGACAGATAAACTGCGAATTTTAATTTCACTTTGTTCGGTTAGAACGCGGTTCTCGGTACTTGAGGCATAAAATATCATTTTATGTCCCTAGGACTGTAAAACCGCGATTCTAACATCGATTTCCTCGATTGAATCGCGGTTTTCGGGCCCAGAGACATAAAATATTGTATGCCACACGGCGATAAAACCATTTCCTGGCTCATATGATTAAAATCCATGATTCGCGGCATTTTAAGAAACAAAAACATGACCTCATATCTTGTAAAGAGTAAATTTCACGAGGGTCGAACGTTGTAAAAGACCAATGTCACAAGTCATCTCCGTTGTGAGAAAGTTAATCTCATTATCAATTGAACTTTATTGGATTTTCCGCTTTATTATCTGTAGCCCGGGAAAAGCCCAGTTGGACCTGAAAAGAACCATTTTTTTCTGAAGAGTTCAAAAAAGCTACCGAAGACAATTGAATTAGTTTTATCATTTAAGAATGTTGAATGACACAAGTTAATGTCAAGACACAAGATGATGACGCCACGAATTCAATAGAGACCAATAAATAATGAGATTGACCCTTGTAAAATTCATCCCTTACACGGTATGACCCTCGTGATTTGTCACCCTTGTGAGGTATAATCTTCGCGAAGCTTCACGGTTTACGATAAAAAGTAACGTCGGCTGGTTTTTTACATTTATTACATTTATTACGTAAATTACGCGTTTTTTACGATGTCATGTAAAAAACTGCGGTCATCGACAGATGCCCAACGCTGGGTAGAGGTCAGTAGAGGTGTGGTGGGTTGAAACAGACGAGCTCTGTTATGCTCTGTTACCGGAATTACTCAGCATCTGTACTTGTCCGCGATGGTGAGTTTCACGAGGCCTCCACGATAATTCACGATGGCGTAAGAGTCGTAGCCACAATTTTTAAAAAAGAAAACCCGAGGCTCTCGCTTAATGGCCAGAGGCGTTCCAGTTCTCTGTGCAACAGGGAGCTAAGCAGAACACTTACACTATTTAACATCAATCGGAGTTACAAACTATTCTGCAGTCGAATTTCGGTAAGTCAATATTATTTTATTACATCCTCCAATTAATTTACATTTCCTCCTCGGTATTTAAATCCTCCAGCTGCAAAAGTCGGATTTTTATTTCTTCGCGAAATCTCTCTCCTCGCATCTAAATGAATTTTTTCCTGATAATTAAACTCTTTTTCACACTTACAAAATCATTAATTGGATAAAATTTAGTGAATAAAACTGAAAAAATTAATTAGAAGAAAAAATAAAGAACATTTGTGGTGATTTCTCTTTTCTAAAAAGAATTAAGTTGAGAATCCAATATTTTTGCATTATAAAAATGGCTTCAACAGATCCGGAAACGCATAATTGACCATAATTATAAGTCTATTTGAAGCAGGGAATACAATTCAATAGACGCATTGAACCAAATCAAAAGTGCAACCGATACTCTTCACGCATTATGATTGATGGAATGGGATTGAGATGAATTAAAAATAATATATCATGATTAAGTTCAATACAATAGAAGAGCGTTTGTAACAGTGGAACGTGGTCCCCGGAAGCTCCAATATTTAACTCGCCCTCATACTCCCGAATTAGAAATAACGATTTGAATTCTAATGGCACTTGGAGGTGCATAGAAATCATTCAAACTTGGCAGTTAACCAAGTCACGCATCCCCTATTCCCATTGAAAAATGGACATTGAGAGGAGGAAGTTTATGATTTCTATGAAGTCTAGACTATTATTCGTCAGGAGAACACGTTTTCGGGGGAAGGGAACCGTTAACAAGATAAAGAAAAATCGAAATCTCGGAAGAAGAAGAGAAATATTAGAATAACTACGAATTATCTCGGAGTGATAAGGAGAAACTAGAGGAATTCTACGCTCTATCTACCCCAGAATATCATTTCGTCGTCGACAAATTATCGGAAACGAAATTTTCAATCTTTTGAACACGAAAAATAGAAAAAACACAGTGAGTTTTGATGATTATGGTTTTGCTTGATCAATTATCTCGGAGGATATTGATCTGGCGAAAAAATATTACGGAAAACAAATTTAGCTGGTGAAATTTTCTACAAAAAATGTTTTATGACATTTTTCCCTAAACCCCTTTGTTTTCGAGATATTTTCATTGTCAGCGGAACGAAAAAAGAATGGCGTTTAGTATTTCTTGTTCTAACGCGCGAGAAACTCCCGAAATCCCGCAAAAATTGAGTGAATATCCTCTTATCTCCCTCTGCAGTCAATCGCAGGCATTCTGTGTAATGTCGCTCGGATGAATAACACCACTCATCCCGTAATTAATCTTCCTCTCCCTCTGGACAATTTATTTTAACGATTTTCTTCATTCATCTGAATCATGTCAATGAAATTCTGAATGAATAATTCAGAGCAGTTGCTATTTTCATTTCACAAAATATTTTCCAATACTTCGATTTCAAAAAATACTATTTGAAATAGTGGACGTCAATTGTGTGAAATAATTATATTTCATTATTTCAAATGGATAGGGAATTTGATTTGATTTGACTCGTGAATTTTCTTTTTCGCTGTGAAAAAAAAATTCTATTCTTCTACATATTGATTGAAATAGTCGAGTAGTGAAATAAACTAGGAAACACTATCTCATTTTTCACTCAGATAGAACGAAATACTAAATATCTGTTTAATTTAAGTTTAAAAACACGAATGAATGAATTAGTTTATTATTTAGTCAACTGAGATAAGCGACTTGCAATAACTATTTCGAACAGTACTTGGGCGGGTAACACTTGAATACCCATGTCCAAAATGGGTACGAATCTCTAGGACCGATTTGATAATAATCATTTCATTTTCTTTTGCTTTTTTATCGTGATAATATCGAAAATAGAATTTGAATAGGGTTTTGTTTATCACGGAAATTGTGAACGCGGGGATTATTCGCGTGTATGATACATGAATTCAATAACCAAGTGGTCCAAGATAAGAGAGAGTCTATCGGGTCAGGAAGATGACCTCTTATTCACACGCGGAATTATCTTCCTATTGCGAACAGCGGAGTGATGAAGAAAAAAAAAGTCTCGTAGTTATTATTTGACAGATATCTCAAAAACTATTGAGTTTATCGAAAAACACCAAAAAACTTTTTTTGTAGCCCATGAAATTCTCTACAAAAAATGTTTTACACATCTTCCGCTAGACCCCTTCCTCCACGAGATATTTGCAAAAGAATCAAAAAATGAATTTTGCAAAATTGTTTAAAATATTTCAACTTTTTCCCTGAAATAAATAGTTCTCTTCAATCGTTAATTTATCATTAAAAAAATTATACTTGATCATTTTCATTTGATGAAACTTCTCCGCAAAACCAATCAATTCCCTCGCTAATTGAAAAATAAATAGATTAACAGAGCGATTTTAAGAAGAAAAAATGAAAAAAATGGCATTTTTCGCTTTTTAATTTATATTGTGTTCGGTTCTGTTATTGTTTGCTAACAGCATGAGTCAAGGTCTTTGCCCCTTGATGAAATCGTTTGGGCGGTACCAAGTTCAACGTGCAACCCAAGAAACTCCTGCACTTGATTATAAATGACTCGGTCTGTTGCTCGAACACTTCAATCAGATCTTGGAGTTCATGGACTCTGAAAATGCATCACGAGCATCAACTATGCCCCTTGTGTAACAATTTTTTGTTTATATTTAGAGTTGCCCCGTAGGAAAAGGCACATTGCGATAGGCTGATGAGCCCTTGGTATCGTAAGAAGTGGAATTATTGGAGCCATGTGGCTGGAGTATTCAGCCATCTGCCTCTTTGTGCAATCAACGTGGTCAAAGAACCCTCGAGTGCATTTTTTATCACCTGAGATTTATTCTCAGCCTCGAGAAATCATTCTTGTGAATACTAAATTATGAATGAATGAAAGCGAATGTGAAACGCCATTCTTTAATAGCCAATCGCGATGCATTACGATTTCATTCGTGATGTTTGATGTATTAAAAATGAAAATTATTTTGAATGAAATTTCTAATTTAACATTCTCCACTGCTATCACACATAAAAAAATTCATAGAAAAACTTAGTGAATTCGACAGGAAATTCTATTGAATTTCTATTGAACTTTCCCTGAAATTTCTATCAGTTTTTGGCGAATTCTATTGAAGCATTCCGCAAGACTTATTGCACGTTTTTTATAGGAAATGTTCAATGGAAAATATTTAATAGAAAACACCAGTAGAATTACATGTTTCGATACAACTTTTTTCTTCAGACATTTTCTACAGGAATTCATCGACATGAATTTTACAAGTTTTTTTACTTTATTTTTCTTCACAAAAATGACCGGAGGGATTTCTATAGAAAACATTTTAATGCGAATAGATTCCACTTTAAAAAAATCCAGTGTAACGATTTTTGAACCCTCTATTCCGCTTATGAAGTAATGAAATATGATGTCTATCTATAGTTTTTTATGATTAATCTTTTGTTTACAGTAAATGTAAAAAAAGAGAGATTAATTTCTTACTGTAATGAAAAAAGATATATAACATAGTATATATATACATAATATCATATAATATATACTATATGTGGGGTATTCCATGTGAACTCACCCAGGTCAAAACCCTCACCATCGCCAATCATATTGCTGATTTTTCCTGTGGTTGTACATGGAAAAATATGACTTCTCAAATTTTTTCAAATTTTTTGAGGCATCCTGTGGACAGTCATATTTTTTTGAAAGTTTTATCTTCAAATGTCTGTAACTTCCGTAGAAATCAACCGATTTGAGTTTTTTTTACAAAATGTGCGTCTTCGAACACACTTTCCATATAAAAATATGCCAACTTTTTTCAATTCGTTCTTTCATCGATTTCCTCAGAAAAACCTCAAAAAACTTCAAAAAACGAGTCGTTTTCAAAGTTAGACCCGTTTTATATTTTTCAACAAATTTTATTGAATATATTGGACCAAAACAAAATTTTTCACCAAAGGCCAAAGTGGGCTTCCCATTTCGTGGCCGTCATTTCCAATTTGAATATATGAATCCGGGATGAAGAATTTCAAAAATTTCAAAATTCTTTTCGCATTTGAACGCAGAAGCATTATTTGAATTTACCGCCTGAAGAATCACTGCATTATATTCGAATCTGGAACAATTTGATGATTTTTTGAAAATTCGTTAACAATAAATCTTTTCGAGTGGTGTGTTCTAATAGAGATCCCACTTTGGCCTTTGGTAAAAAAATTTATTTTGGTGCGATATATTCACTGAAATTTTTTGAAAAATATAAAAAGGGTCCAAAAAACGACTCGTTTTTTGAAGTTTTTTGAGGTTTTTCTGAGGAAATCGATGGAAGAGCGAATTGAAAAAAATTGGCATATTTTTATATGGGAAGTGTGTTCTAAGACGCACATTTTGTAAAAAAAAACTCAAATCGGTTGATTTTTACGGAAGTTACAGGCATTTGAAGATAAAACTTGCAAAAAAACATGACTGCCCACAGGATGCCTTAAAAAATCTGAAAAAATTTGAAAAGTCATAAATATGTTTTTCCATATACAACCACAGGAAAAATCGGCAATATGATTGGCGATGGTGAGGGTTTTGACCTGGGTGAGTTCACATTGAATACCCCATATACTATAGGGGAGAGTGGGCAAAATGACACAGTTGGAAAATGACTGACGCAATTCAAGCAAAACAATTTTTTCTTGTTAAATATTTTTTTTATTAACTTTTGTTTATCAACTTTTTTTTATTCTTGAGAGTACTAATGAGAATAATAATTTTCCGTTCAGTAGAATGAAAAATTGAGACGTAATGACGGGAGAAGATTTTGTCAATAGATTAATTGAAAATAAAATGAAACCGCCAAATCCAAAGGCCAGAGGAAGGCCCAGGGGGAGACCCAGAGGGGGAAAAAGGAAAATGTGATGCTGAGTGTCAATCGAATGAAAAAAGAAAAGCGTAATCGGCCTAATGTAATCAGTTCAATTATAATCGATTGAATTATAAGACGAATAGGATTTACTATTCTCATCGGTACTCCCAATAATAAAAAAAGTTGATAAAAAAAATTTAACAAACAAAATTTTTTTTGCTTGAATTGCGGCAGTCATTTCTCGACTGTTTCATTTTGCCATACTCTCCCCTATGTTTCATACTTCATTTTTTTTTCAACTGTAATTAAAAAATTAATATAGTTCTGTAAAAAAACATATAAATATATATAGGATATTATGTATGTATAAAGTACACAATACATCCCCAAAAATGAAAAAGAACACAAAAAGGAAAAGAGAAACGAAGAAAAAGATAAAGATGATTATGACGATTCCGACGAAATTATTCAACAATTAAATTCTTATTGTGAAAAACTTTGTTTAAACCATTAATTTCTCCTGCATTATTCTTGAGATGAAAATTAATGAAAGTGAAAAACGGCAAGGTTTTACTATTCTTGCACCAATGGAAAACAAAAATTAGTGAAGTTGTTTTATATCGAAATATCTCGAAACTACCTGACCGCTAATCCTTAATTCTGATTGGTCAATATGTGATACGAAGTTATTCACAAAAAAAACACGCGGCATTTTCAAATTCTTCAGTGGCAAATTTTTTTTTTCACGTCATATAGATGTATAATATATATATTTCACATGTATATATATCATCGGTGAAATTAATAAATTCTGTCCTTTTATGGAGACCGATTGTTTTAAAGATAATTGAAGATAATTAATTGAAAATGAAAAATTTTTTATAGATTCTTTTACTCTACTTCGCTATTCATTTCAATCATTAGTCGAATTCTCTTTGATTCATTATCAATATTTATAAGGTATTCATGAGAAAATGAAATTCAATGAATTCCATTTCTTCATTTCAACAAATGAATAGATGAGCGCGCGCGAGAGCGCGCGCATAGATCTTGTCAATAATTAAAAAATAAATTTCTATAGAAAAATGGAATTCCATTGATTCTGGGTAATGTCCGCAGAAAAATTACCGGCACGAGTCCAAAAGCATTAAAAAAAAGAGAGGAGATACATAAGGGAGGATGAGGCTCCTGGCGATTTCATTGGTCTTGCTCCACCTAATTCTCGTCATTCATCTATCTGACGCCCGAGAAATCACGTAAGAGACTATCCTCCAATAATCCTCCACTTTATTTCGAATTAAGGAATTACGCCGATGGGTTTTTAATTAATTTTTATGGGAAAAAGTGACTCGACAATTGTCTCAATTGAGAGGAGGAAAAAAATCACAGAAGAAAAAATTCTTGTCGTTTTGTTCTTTTTTTACTGCAACTCTGGAAAATTTTCCGGGGGAATGAGTCATCTCATGAAAATTATTTTCCGTCAAGGCACGAGGATATCAAAGATGCCATGCTGAGTCTCGTCCACATGATGCGAGAGAACACAGAGAAGCTGGAGAGGCACGAGGTCAGAGAGCGCCAATTGGGTGAACAAGTTAAAAAGGCCATTAGTCTTTTATCGAAGAGAGTCTCAGCTATTGATGGACTCAAGACGCATCTCACTAAGTTGGATGAGAGAATGGCAGGGATCGAGCAATTAATTTCACAGGTTTAATCGAATTTTAATGCCAATTGGGAGAGGGATGCAGAAAACAGTACAGAGTAGTGGGCGGATATCTAGGAAACTATTCGCTTTGGGAAAAAATGTCATAAAAACTTTTTCGTAGATTATAAAATTATCTACAAAAATGTCTTATGACATTTTCCGATTAGTCCGATAGTTTCAGAGATATTCACGAGGTACTCTAACTTCATTTTTAATAATCTAGAAATTTTCATGCTTTTTGGTAGAAATTATTTTGCAAATATTTTTTTTTTATTTAGCACAAAACCAATGAGTTTAAACAGCTTTTCATACAAAAAAAATTTTATACATATATATGAGGTATTGCATGCCAAATGAGTCAACGGCTAACTCTCACCCTCTTAAAAATTGATGGCGATTTTTTCTACGATTGGGGGGCTTGAAAAACTATCTTTCAAATTTTTTCAGATTTTTTTGACAGCCCAGTTCGGAGATTTTTTTTTTTCAAATTACTAGTTTCTTTTACAATAATTCGAGTTCTACTCATCCGATTTCGATTTATTAGGGATGAAAATTTTAGATTTTTCACCAACTATAAGAATGTTTTTTGTCCAAATTTTTTCCAATCTCTAGATGCTCGAAATAACTAATTGTCGAAAAAAAGTTGAATAACTTGAATTTGGCTAATTACATCACTGTTGATTATTTTAATTTTTTTTCAGTAATTCCTATAATCAAAACAAAAATTTTGAGCCGCCATACATGTTGCATTTCATCTTGAATCTATTTTATTTTTAATTTTTTATTCTCAAAATTCTGCGAATTTGGTCAAAATACCCCAAAATGTCATTGGTTGACTTTGATTATAAACAGTATGAAGTAAATTTTAATATATACCTATATATTACATATTTTTTTGATATATAATGAAAGTCGTTTTAAGATGTTTGCACAAAATTTTCGCAATTTTAAAAAGAAAAAATTAAAAAAAGGATAGATCCTGGATGGAACCCAACATGTATGACGGCTCAAAATTTTCGTTTTCATTACAAGAATTACTGAAAAAAGTTAAAATAATCGGCCGTGACTTAATTGCCAAAATTCAAGTTTTTCAACTTTTTTTTCGAAAATTCGTTATTTTGAGTATATAAAGATTGGAATTTTTTTAAAAAAACATTCTTATAGGCGGTGAAAAATGGAAAATTTTGCCTCCTAATAAATCGAAATTGGATGAGTAGAACTCGAGTTATTGTAAAAAAACGGAACAATGTGAAAAAAATCACATTTCCGAACTGGGCTGTCACAAAAACCTGAAAAAATTTGAGAGATAGTTTTTCAAGCCCCCTAATCGTAGAAAAAATCGCCGTCATTTTTCAAGAGGGTGAGAGTTAGCCGTTGACTCATTTGGCATGGAATAACTCATATATATACATACATTTGTGTACCATTTGTTGATCTGAAGATTTTGCAAATACCTCGGAAGTTATTGGGTTTGGAAAAAAATGTTATGCGAACTTTTTGTAGATCATTAAATTTCCTGCAAAAGTGCTTTATGTCATTTTTTTATACGTCCAATATATTCGACGGTATTTCCAGTTTTCTAAAAATGATAAGCGTACTGAATTTGCAGAGAGACGAGAGAGAGAGAATTCAAATGCAAAAAACAGCGGACGGCGTTGAACTCTTGGAGAGTCATCTAAACAGTTGGTTCACGGATGTGGATAGCAAACTCGCTGAGAATAATCGTCGAACCGATACCGAAGTACCGAGAATTCACGATAATAGGCCTTCCGAGATAATGACAAAACTCAATAAAACGGAGGCAGCTATTGGTGGTGAACTCGTCAAACTGGAGTTTGCACTCGAAGCTATTACCAACAAGCTGGGGGATGCGCCTGCCAAGCTCCTTGTTGTGTCTGAAGAGGTATTTATCGTCTCCTCATGCAGAAATTTTGGCAACAGTCCTAAAAATTCACTTTTCTCCACGTGAGAAAACCCAGAATTGATTGCCAATTTATTATTATTCCTAAAAAAAAACATTCCCTTTTGATTTAGAAAAGCCTCAACTAAATATTTACTCTGTTGTTTGATCCTTGGCCCCTCCTCATGACCTTTCCTCACCCTCTCGTCATCGTAATCCCTTTTTAATGCCCGTCCCTGCAGAATTAATTCGAAAAATCCTCTCAGGTGGAAAAAATTGGGACCAGAATCAGTGATATGGAAGCTTCCCTGGAGGTTCTGAAGTCAAGTACTCAACAACTTCATGAGAAGGTCGGTGAGAAGGCGGAGGTCAGCCCTGCACTCGAGGGACAGGCCGAGACGCTTATGAGACTGAAAGAACTTGCAGAAGACACTTCCGAGAGGATCCAACAACTTCCAATGTACACAAAAAATTTATTTCTGAATTTTTGGGAATATCTCAGCAACGAGTGGGTTTAGGAAGAAATGTGATAAGAGATTTTCTGCAGAGCGTTAAATTCTCTATAAAAAAGGTTCTGATATATTTTTTGATAAGAGGACTTGCTATCGAGATTTTTCAGCATTTAGTTGTTGTTGTCAACGACAGCTCATTTTTTAACGGAAATTTTTTGTGGAAATTCCTCCAAACCCACTATGTGCACGAGGAAAAGTCATAATAAAATTTTTGTAGCTTATGAAATTCTCCACAAAAAATGTCATATCACATTTTTCTTTACATGTCTTCCCTCTAAAGATATACGTAAATATTTTCAGCTGCTGCATTTTCACTGTTTGATTTTTTCCTGAATATTCTAGGACAACTGACGTTCATGCGCTTCACAACGAGACCCAGGCAGTTCTCCAGGAGACAAAGCACGCCCTCAGGGAAGCTATAGCGCGCGAGGTGCATGAAATCGACGTAAATGTGCAGGAGACGAATCAGGAAACGAAGCATGCAATTGGTGAATTGAGGTAAATTCAATAAAACAAGCGGCAAATTGCCCTCGTATCGAATATAGTATAGGGGAGGTTGGGGTAAAATGGACACTTGACTTTTTTAAAAAATGTTAATGACGGGTTGAAATGTTGATAAAATTTAATCATTTTTTTTTTCATTGCAAAGAACAATTCTTTCCCTTTGTGATGAGACTAAACTGAGCTCAATTGATAAATTTGTTTCTCAGTTATGAGTAATTAAAACAAAAGTCTAAAGTGTCCATTTTACCCCACTCTCCCCTAGTAATTTTTGCTAATAAATTAGCAATATGCCTCCGAATGGTTATTTTGCATATCATTTCCTTCTATCATGTATAATTCATTGTTTACTTAATTTTATTAAATTTAATACAATTTCGTTTTAACTAATTTTGTCAGATTTTCAACTTAGTTGAATGATATCATCACCATTATTCTTATTATTCCTGTCTTCTATACAACCGATTGTCTTTTTTGCGGTTCTATCTCTCCCCTGAATCCTTCGATAAAATGTTGATAGAAAAATTTTATTTATACATCGTTGAATGAATTTAAAACATCACATTTGAAGAAACCATCAGGAAGCTCACTTTCAGGAAAATTCATGAAAAATTCGAAATTTTCAACAATCATCATAAAAATCAAATCAAGCCATACAGCTATATCGTAATCATTTTTTAACTTCGACTTTATGGGATTAAAACAAACATTTTAAGCTATAATTGAATTCGTTTGAAGCATAATATTCAGTGTTATTCCCGGAATTCTGAATTTCGAAAAAGATAAAATTTTTGCAAATTTTCAAATAGATCAAAATAACAATTATTGTTATCGCCTTCATCTTCAAACTCGGTCAAAATCACATGCAAACTAAATTTTTAAGCCATCATTCAATCAGGTCAGAAATTTTTTTTTAGTTATCGCAAAAAAACATTCTTTGGGGGGGGAAGTGCGGACGAAAAAATTTAATAGAAAAACCTATCGAATTTATTAGAAAATTCTATTGAATTCCTATTGAACTGTCCTATTAGTTTTTGGCCGATTCTATTGAAATGTTCAATAGAAAATATTCAGTAGAAAAAGTCAATAGAATTCAATTTTTCTGTATAACTTATTCTATTGAGATATTTTCTATAGAATTTCCTCGGCTCAAATGTTCTAAGTTTTTTTGTTTGATTTTCTTGATGAGAAGACAAGAAAAAAAGAATGAAAAAAACTTGGAAAATTTGAGCCGACGAAATTCTATAGAAAATGTCTGAAAAGATTAATTTATGTAGAAAAATCGAATTCTGTTGACTTTTATCACGTACAAAAATGTTCATGCACTGAGAAACAAATATATTTTTGCCAAATATCTATTTACTTGAGAGAAGTATTTACTTTTTTAAAGTTGAATTTCTCTATCCGAGTCATTCCCAGACAAGCTTGATTAGGTTTCAATTATGACAATCATGTTGCACTAGAGGAAGACTATGCTGTACATGACCTTCGATGAACTCCTTCAATAATTATTCATTTTTCCTAAATTTCTTATTTCCTAGGGAAAAGAATTTTGATTAATTTTTCAATGTTGATAATTATTGAGAGAGTTCACTCACTCACTCACAGCTAACATGATCATCTTCTAGAGCAATATAATTGTCACAATTGAAGCCTAATGAGAATTGACCGGGAATGCCTCGGCAGGAGAAATATGGAATTGACAAAATAAATACTTCTCTCAAGTAAATGGATATTTGGCAAAAATAATTTTTTTTCTCAGTGTGGCCACGGCCATGGTCTTTTGGCCGCTTGCCATGGAGTTGCCATGGCCTTTGCCATGGAGTTCCCATGGCGCTGCTGAGGGACGTTGCCTGGCGTTTCCATGGAAAAAAAAAAATAATCAAATTATCAAGTAAGGGAGATTGATCCTCTTGACCCTCGTGACCTTGTTGTACCTTGTGACCCTTATGACCTTAAAGGTCAAAGGCCATGGCAAGCGGCCAAAAGACCATGGCCAGGCCATGAACATTTTATGTACGTGTTTCTATTGACGTTTTCTATTAAACATGTAAATAGAATCACCCAAAAACTAATAGAAAGTTTAATAGAAATTCAATAGAATTTTCTAACGAATTCGATAGGTTTTTCTATTAAATTTTTTCGTGCGTGAAAGGGGGGGGGGTGCATTGAGAATTGACAACCAAAAAAAATTGAGTCGGCGAGTTTTTCAAAAATCTTAAAAATTGAATTCGTAATCAAAATCCTCTGCAGGTTGGATATGGCGAATAATGTAGATCGCGTGAATGAGGGGCTGAATGACCTCGTGAAAGGCCATTCAGTTATGATGGCCATGGCAGATGACGTTCTGGACACGAAGAAACGAGTGGAATATGGGGTTCACCAGATTCTCCTGGAAGTTGGCGATTTAGTGAAAACTCAGAGTATTCACATCAATGATACCCTCAACTCCAGGTTCGATGGCATCTCCAATGACATAATGGATAATCAGAATGGAGCTGTTGCCAATTTAACCACGAAGATGGAGCAGGAGATGAATCAAGTGACTAAAATTCAAGAAATTCAGTTGAAAAAAATTTTAGAACCTCTTAATTCGTCGGTTTTGTTTTCCGCAGGTCTGGAGGCAGATCAATGTGATGTACCAGCAGATGACTGAGAGTGCTAAAGCTCTGGAGAAGCTGCACAAGCAGAATGAAGCTTATGTGAATGGGACAACCACGACGTTGGGGGGAATGGAGAGTAAAGTGAGTGGAGAAAATAGTGTTCGGGTTTTGGTAATATCTTGAAAGCTCACGGTGGCAGAGAAAAAAATTTTTAGAGCTTTTTTAGCTGAGGAAATTTTTGAAGCCAAAGGTCTTGGGAAATTTTCTTGACCTACTTATCACTGAGAGATAGTGATGCAGCGAGACAAGACGAGAAGATACAATTTCTCGTGTCGTCTCGTCTCGTCAGAGCAATTCTTCTCTCGTCTCTATAATCCAATTTGCACGGGAAAAAAATACACAGAGGAGCAGAGAGCGGGAGACTCTCTCGCCTCTCGTTTCTCTCGTTGTCGACCAGCTTCTCTCGTCCCATCACGTTGCTGTCATTGTCTCGAATGACACTTCTCGTTTCGTCTTGTCATGTCTCTCGTCTCGTCTCATTTCTCTCACGTCTCACGGCATTACTACTGAGAGAATTAGACATTGGGGACAAAGATATGGAACATCGAATCTGATTAAGGGGAGACTACTGAGTTTTAAAAGTTGCGGGCTATTGGTGTAAGATTTCTTATGCATTGAAGATTAATTATATAAGTCTAAAAATGAATAATTAGTGCAAAAAATTAATTGTTTATTGTTCGCTTGCCCAGCACAGGCTTAAAACGTTGAAAATATTTTTTTTTTATTTTTGAAAAAAGTGTACAAGACCAATTACGAATTAGTTTTTTAAAATTCGACTACTACACAGCTGATTTCGTTTTGTTTAAGGATGTTTAGCCGTTTTCAGCAAATCTTATATTTTCATGTTCAAGGAAAATTCTATAAATTTTTGGCTGATAGCAGAACATATAAAACTAACTTCTTTGATGTTAAAAAAAATTAATCGCAATAGGCTCGCCAGAAATAAACAAATTTTTCCTTATACACGAGCTCTTATGGAATTTATGTTGAAATTTATAATTCACCTACTACAAGACTCTAAAAATAGAAATAAAAATAGAAGGTAATGTACAAAACTATATTGAATCGAATGGCCGGAAAAAAATTTGGGGTACCCGCGCAAAAAGAGGAAATATTTGAAAGATTCTATCCCATATAAGCGCATGTTAGCGCATGCGCTTGGTGCATTTTGTCCATTCCATTTCTAAATAATAAACGTGGGTTCGCGGATTGAAATTTTTATCAAGATGAAGGGACTAACTTCATCTCTCAGCCAAAAAAAATCAATTTTTTTTTAATACTTGTGATTTTGGATAAACATCCTTAATATGAAAATTTGCGCCATTCATGTAAAATAGGTAGAAAAATGATCCTTGAAATAATTAAAATATATTCTCGATGCTTTCACAAACATTTTTCGGGCTATTTTACACGAATAGTGCAATTTTTTATTAAGAAAGAAACCAATTAGCTGTGTAGGAGTGGAATTGCAAAAAAATAATTCTTAATTGTTGTACACGTTTTTTCAAAAAATAAAAAAAAATCTCTGTAGCTTAAAAATTGGAGGCCCTGGACTATTTTTAACATTTCAAGCGTCTCCAGAGCAAATGAAGATTGATAACTCAATTTTTTGCACTAATTATGCGTTTTTAGACATGCATAATCGATCTTCAATGTATGAGAAATCTCATTCCAATATCCTGCGACTTTAAAAACTCACAGTTCTCCCCTTAAGGGGAGACTCTCTCGCCTCTCGTTTCTCTCGAAAACGATAGTAGTCTTCCCTTAAGGGCAGACTACTGTGAGTTTTAAGAGTCGTGGGTTATTGGAGTGAGACTTTTCATACGTTAAAGATCGATTATATAGATCTATGTATATAGAATTCTTTTTATAAATTTTATAAATCTATATAGAATTTTTTTTATTGTTCGTTTACCCGAAAAATGTGTGGAACAACAGTTACGAGCCAGTTTTTTGAAATTCGACTCGTATACAGCTGATTTCTTTTTTTTTCATGTAAAAAAATTCACTATTTGTGTAAAAAAAAAACAAAAAAAGCAAATTTAGCTATGTAAAAAGGGAATCTAAAAAAAATAGCTCGTAATTGTTATTCCGCATATTGTTCCGTTTGAAAACAGTTTGAAAAAAAAAACATCCTCTGTACCTCAAAAATTGGAGGCCCTGGACTGTTTTTGGCATTTTAAATTTTCGGGCAAACGAACAAAAAAAAATTTTCTCGCACTAATTATTCGTTTTCAGATCTATATAATCGATCTTCTATGTATGAAAAATCTCATTCCAATAACCCACGACTTGGAAAAGTCACAGTAGTCTCCCCTTAATCTAATTAATTGCCTCTGTTTTTAGAATCCTCTGAATTGTTAATTGAATTTTTCCTCAGGTCGAAGAGATCACGAAACGCATGTCAGAGGTCGACGAGAACCTGAACTACCTCCTGGGTAGGCTCTTCCTGGTGACCCAGGAGTTCAATCAGATAAAATCGGGTCTGGGTGCAGCCCTGGACAACATAAAGGCCTCGTTCAAGGAGGTCCAGGAAAAAGCCAATGACCTGAGCAATCCTGGCCCGCATCCTGTCCCCGAGAACTACAAGGAGATGGATGAGACACCCAAGAACGAGGACGGACATATACCGGAGATAATAAGCCACGTTAAGTCGTATTAAAATGTACGGGTACTTATTATCCTCCATTCCTTCAGTCCTATTTCTGAGAGAACTAAAGTGCCTTGAGGATCTTCAAGAGATGAATAACATCTTGGGAAAAAATTATTCGAACTATTCCAACTATTTGAAACATTCACAACTGATTGAACTGAACGTACCCGCAATTATCTCGTGAAGGAGTGGGTTTACCGGAAAATGTGATATGAACTTTTTTTTAGAGAATTTAATTCTCTGCAAAAACTATCTAGGGACATTAGCCTCTAAAACCAGTCGTTCACGAGACAGACCTGAAAGTAGCCCTTCCACCTCATTAATAATTGTGCCTATTATCGTTTTATCGGTTTTGTATAAATCCAAGCATCGTCAGAGCCATTTACAAGTCCCAATGTACATTAAATAGATTGACTTCGTCCATACAATTTCGTGATTCATTGTTTCAAAAAATCAAATCAACAATTTTAACAAATGAATTGTTTTGAAAAATTAATGAAAATTCCTCTGAATTTTTTTTTCACTGCAATTAATCACAAAAGTCTTTACGCAATCAATTAATTAAATAATGCTAATAATAATAATAATCCCAAGTAATTTTCGTAACAGAAGATCCTCCATTTTCCCAATGAAATTTATTTCACACTCTTCCCTTTAGTATTATTTTCTCGCCCAATTAGCGTAAACGTAATTCCATGTATGATTAGTTTAGAATTTTTTTATGCCTCTACCCATTACAAAATTAATAAAAGCGTAAAATAAAGGATAAAATTAAAGAATAGGAAGATGGGAGAATACCTGTAATGAATTAAATCATCAATATTGTCGCCTGTCAACAAATTGTTTTTACTATTTACTTATTTCATCAATAAATCTTATGACATTCGTTCTGAACATTTTTGGTTTAATTCATACGTTAATTAGTGTTTAGATTCGTTTCCATATTTTGTTATTTTTTCATCGCATTTTTCAATTATCATTATTTGTTTACTATTTACACATTGTCTTACCTAAGTATACATATGCTACATATTTACTATTTTCTTTATCTCCACTCATTGGAGTATACTTGATATATTTAGTGTACGTTCTTGTTTTTTTTAAATTCATCTCTTTTTTCCCCCAAGGAATTTATCTCCAGCCAGTGGATCTGCTTGCGTTTATTATCTCTTCTTTTGGAACTGGATCGAAGTTTTTTTTCACGCAATGTACAAAAAGTTTATGGTTAATTTAAATGCCAAACGATTTTATAGTAGAAGCGAAGTGGACTGTTATCAAGTGGAATAAGAAGTTTTTTAATTAAAAATACTGCTGAGGGATTTAGCTGGATAACGAGGGGTTCTAGGAGAAAATGCCGTAGGAGATTTTTTGTGGGAAATTTTCTCATCTGCAAAAAAGGTCTAGTGACATTTTGCTCTAAACCCAGTGGTTTCCTTGATGTTTACGACGAATGTCTCCATGTTTTTTCGTTCTTGAATTTTTTTTTGTTTGCAGATTTTCGGGAATATCTTGGAAACTACTCGGTTCAGAGTAAAATACCTCTGAACCTTTTTTGTAGACCGGAAAATTTCTCACAAAAAATTTGTATGGCATTTCGTCTTAAAACCATTTTTTAACAAGGTAAATGATAATTAAACCGTTTTCAAAAACTGAAATCCAATTTTTCAGGTCTTATGACTTCACGGGGTTGATCAACGTTTTTTAATTGTTTCGTAATTTCAATGATTGGAAATTGTTAAATTATCAAAACTCTTATTCCAATTGACGACAGCAATTGATTTCCATTTCTTTCACTCATTAAATTATTCTCCCCTCAGCGCATTAACAACTAAGCCTAATTACACAATGTGACGGTGAGGATTTTGTTTTTTTTTTTATAAAATTTGATGTGCACACTTACAAATTAAGAATTCAAAGGCGATGGATGGTTTTGAGTGAAAGGCAGTTTGTTTTGTATTTTTTTTTCAATTTTCTAATTCTTTTTTTCGTATATCGTATCTCGGGGAGGGAAAATACTCACGATATTACTTTTAATTACTCATTTTGTTCTCATTTGGTTCCAAGAAATCATTTTTCTTGCTAGGACGTTGGAAACAGTCTGGGCTTTCGGCTTTCAACTAATTTCATTCCATTTTTTTTGTTTTTTGTTTCTTTGCTTTCCAGTTTTTACGCCATTTTCTCATCCTCTCGACCTCGATCTAACGAAATAATCGTAATTGTCTTAGTGAAACGAAATTTATAGAAAAATGATGGCAAATAATATTTTTTAAAAAGGGAAATCCAGGAGTGAAGGGAACAAGTGACAGAACATGAGAAATTGATTTTTTTAATCTGCTACATGTCCAATTATTACAGTAATGAATGACGCTACGAGAAAATGTCACAAAGCATTTTTGTAGTAAATTTCATCAGCTACAAAAATGCTTTTACAACATTTTCCCCTAAAACCACTCGTTTTTTAGATATATGTAAAGTTAATAAAACTTTTTTCATTCCAAAAGCAATTCCCTGTTCCAACATGTTAAGACGCAATTATCTCATGCAGCAGTGGGTTTACGAGAAAATGTGATATGAACTTTCTCGTAGAGAATTCAATTTCCTGCAAAAAATGTTCAGGGGCGTTTTCTCCTAAAACCTCTCGTTTACGAGATAAACCCGAAATTGCCCCCCTTCACCCCTGAATCAGCTCTCCTTCCGTAACAAGCGCACACCATCTCATTAATCCTTGTGCCTATTATTGTTTATCGATTTTGTATAAATCCAAGCATCATCAAAGCCGTTTACAAGCCCTAATGTACATTAAATAGCTTAACTATGTACTTGATCCATAGAATTTCGTGATTCACTGCGTGAAAAAAATCAAATTAACAGTTTTAACAAATAAATTGTTTGGAAAAATGAATGAAAATTCCTCTGAATTTTTTTTTCACTGCAATTAATCACAAAACTCTTCAATCAATCAATTAATTAGTCCATCAATTAATTAATTCAATTTAATTGATTGATTCATTCGTCTTCTCTTTACAATGACTAGTTGCCTAAGCCAATACTGTGAAAATTAATTATTCACAATTTCATCGTTTCAATTATTGGACACACATGGAAATTTAAAATGTAAAAGATTTGAAGACTCGTGTGGTGGAAGTTGCACATGTACACAATTCTCACATAACGAGTGTTTTTTTTTATTCATTTTCATTTGACTTTTCTTCACCCATTCTCGCAGAAAAAATATAATCCTCAAATATCTTGCAATTTTTTTTGTTCATTTTATGTTTTATGGGGGGGGGGGAGGCACGACTGAAGCCAAGATACAAAAAGTTCACTTTACTCTTTATTTCTTATTCAATATTCTTTTTTTTTATTCAATAAAAATCATGATCTCACATAATTTGTACGCAGTGTTGTGGCTTGGTTAATGTAACTTTTCTGTGGTAGACGACATGAGAATTGATTTAATTTACTTTTTGTTTGTTGAGATTATTTAGTGAAGTGGTACAACGAAGCATTCCACTTAATTTTGAATCGGGGAAATTTTATTTTGAATAGTTTCTGTTTTTAATTCATGATATATTGAAATTATCATTTTATTTCTTAAGAATTATTTTTATTTCTTGAAATCATTTTTTTCATCATTTGAAATAGTCGAATAGGAAAGCGAAATAGGAAATAATATTTGATTTCGTTAATTAGTATTACAAACACTAATCAATGAATACTATTTTACCACTTCACTATAAAATTGTCTTTCGATATCGGAAATTCACTGACTATTTTTTTTCAGATTCACTGCCCGTGATTGTTAACCATGTGTTAACGAATATTCATCACCTGTATTGTGTCATAATATTTGCATTAATGTTATAATTGATACAACAGATCATTGAATCCAAAGTTGGGAAAATAAGAATGCAATGGAGATATTGATCAACATTTCATAGAAGAAAAAAAATATCGAAGTCATCATTCGATGGATGATTAAAGTTTTAAAAATTTGTCGATGTTGAATGGAGTCACCACATCGAAATACACATTATCCATTCGTTTTTTCAACCCCTTCTACTCCATTCAACCAAGAAATCGTGAAAATTCATTAAACTTATTTGTGATTCTCATTACATGATTATCATAATTACCCTTAAATCTGTATATACATCAAGCGTTACATTATGATTAATTATGTAAATCCCGCCCACTTGATTAAGAGAACAAAAACCCCAGAAGACGAAAAAAATCGAGAGAAATTGGAATGATTTGATAGGGAACTGGAAAAATACAAAACTTACTTCGAAAATATCTCGGAAACTACTGCGTCTATAGGAAAATGTGTCAGGATTTTTTTGTATGACTTTCCAAGGGCTCCAAAAATGTTCTTCTGACATTTTTCTCTAAACCCAATGGTTTCTGAGATATTAACAAAACAAACTGAACGAAAATTCTTCACTTGACAAATTCGAAAAAATTCCCACATATTATATTTGCCAATATCTCAGAAAGTATTGGATATACCGAAAAATGTCATAAAGACATTTTTATCAGAAATTTAAGCCTCTACAAAAGTTTCCCGCAACATTTTCGTCCAAACCCAATACTTGACCAGATATTCGCAAGACTCCATAAATCCCGAATGCACCGATTAACTAGTGAATTAAATTGCGATGTTTATTTGATTTCCATAATTTTCCCTGTCTCTTCAAACATTTTTAGTTATAGAGATCATCGCAGTGACCTCAGTGACACGACAGGCTCCACGTCACGTTGCACAGCAACGTTATCCCCCAATTACCATTACAAATAGGAATGAATCGAAGAAATTTTCAATGAAACGTCAACAAGACGTTGCGATAATATACCGGGGCACAATGGCATACGGATTTACACATTTTCACGCCATCCTGCCCCCCAAAATGACGATTATTTACATACGTACAATGGATGCAGCAACGAAAGAAACATTTCTTCATATTTTTCTTCATAAACTTCACACTCATCTGGATATGAATATAAACAATTCATATTGATCGTTGCTTAATCGTTAATTCATTAAATTAGTGGGCATGTTTTTAGTTTAATGAATGACGCGATTGCCTTTGTGCATTAAATTTCTATCGTACGTCTTATTCTTACGTCTTTTACAGTCAGTTTTCACTGGATGAAATAAACAGAATTGATTTCAATTTTTTTAAATCAAATTTATTCGAATGATTGAAGAAATTATCGGTTCTTGAACACATTGGGACATTTCTCATGAAAAATCTCCAATAAATCCATTATTTTTCCTCTCTCACTCGCAGATTATTTCCAAAAATCATTTACAAAATGTTGTGAACAATTTTTTTTTTCAATTTAAAATTCAGGGTCACAGAACATCGTGAATATCTCAGTAATCAAGAGGTTTCCGAAATAATGTCATAAGAGTTTTTTTGCAGAGAATTTAATTTCCCACAAAAAATAACTTGTGAAATTTTTGGATAAAACCAACGGTTTTTGAGATATTCACAAATACATGGGAACAATTTTTTTCTTCATGCAAAAAAATTTTCTCCCCACTAATTCGCGAATATCTCTAAAATGAAGCAACTAACGAAAAACAGACACAAGAATATTTTTGTGACCCTTGAAATTTCCCACAAAAATCACTTGTGACACTTTCCTCCAGATCCACTCGTTCCCGAGATATCCCCGAAATAATCCGCAAGCAATTTCCTCCACCCAAACATCTTCATCCTCGCTGCATTCCAATCTATTCTGCCCCACCCCTAATATGTTTCATAACCATTGGACAACTTTCAACAAACAATCCTTGTACTGTACCATCTCCCCTTCAACCAATGATACTTTGAGCGCATTTAATATTACCCATAACATGAATTTGTCAGCGTACTTAATGTTTCAAGCATTTATTTAAATTTATCCATTAATTTCCCACCACTTGTCATTCCAGTAATTTTTAGTGGACGATAATTTATACTATTCAGAGGAGATAAATAGCTAACACCGACTGCTTCGCTTAACTGGTACGTTTAGATACGTTTGAAAGCTCATGACAAGCTTAGATTAATTGAAAATTACCAGGGTTTCGTAATTAATTAATCCTATCCCTTTGATTAAACCGTCAATTATTAATCTTCATTTTGTTATTAATTTCTTCATGCCGATGATTTTATTTATCCTTGGGGTGGATTAGTTTTTTTACTCTTAATTAAGCATTCAAGATTTCATTATTTTACAGACACGCGAGTGATTCTTAACATCATCTGCTATTATTTATTCCGTTTATCTCATTCTCTCTCTCAGCACAGCAAAGAAATCTTCAATTATTTATTTATTCATTTAATTATTCATTATTGTAGAGTTCTATGTACACCCCCGTAATGCGAATGGAAACGTCACTTTTTTTTTGGTAATTTATTTCATTTTTTTGGGAAATTTTATAGAATTCTGTTTTTCATTTTTTTTTCGTTATTTTGTTATTTTGAAAAACGACTAGCCTATAACAAAGCAGTGATTCGATTCAGAATGCTGTGCGATCTTTAGTTTAGTACGCGAGGTGACGGTTTTCGTCAGACTCGAGGTACAAAAATGGTTTTATGGATTTTATGATTTTTTAAAGATTTTTTATTGCAAAATTTCTTCTTGCTCCTGGGGAATTTGAGATTGTGGGGCCCAGGGGATGCTCTGGGGAGTTTTGGGATTTATAGGAATTGTCTTTTGACATTTTCTGAGGGATCGAATAGTTTAAGAGAATTCCGGAAATAGTGAACACTATTTTTTCTAATGCACTGTCTATTTTTTTATTTTTTTATATTTATTTATTAATTATCTTTGTAATGAGTGGGATTAGGAAAAAATGTCAATGGACTTTTTTGTGGGGAAGTTCGTAAGCTACAAAAAAACTCTTGTCACATTTTCCCCTAAACCTACTACCTTTTAAGATATTCACAAAATGGTTGATACGAGTTTTTCGACTGCATTAAAAAAATTGCTGACATCTCTTTGTAATTGTGCAATTATCTCGCTTATGAGTGGGTGTAGAAAAAAATCTCATAAGAGATTTTTGTGGGGAATTTCATAAGCTACAAAAAACTCTCATAAGATTTAGTTCTAAACCCACAAGTGTCTGAATTATTAAAAAAATAGTGTACACATTTTCATTTTTTTACAATTTCTATTAATTGGATAATTATCTCAGTAATGATGGGATTTAGGAAGAAAACTCAGAAGACATTTTTTGTGGGAAATTTCATAAGCTACAAAAAATGTTTTTGACAATTCTCCCCTAAATCACTCATCACCAAGACAACTCGCCATTAAACAAAACCAATTTTTCCGAATCGAAAAAATTCACTTATCAATCACAAAAATTCCACAGGAGCATTCTCACCAGTACCTCCCTAAACATCACCAGTGTACCACATAAAAAAGGTATTTATCCCTCAAATAAACTATGGTAGTTTAAATTCGGTGTATTGGACGCATAATGCCAGAATGCAAATATCAATGACTCCTTTTAAATCACTCCGATAGAATGTGGAATCAATTATCTTCCCAATTAACCCAAAACATTAAATGAGCCCCAGGCCCATCAAGCCCCAATCATGACCCCTAAAAGGTGAATGAAACCCTAAAAATGGACCAATAAAATTGTCAGATGGTCTCCAAAAGCTAGAGCGATCACCCCAGGAAGATAATTGATCCTCCCACACCCGCAGACCCTCAAGAGACGTTATTTCTTCGTCATTTAAATTAATAAGATTAGATTTCTACCAAATGTAGGCGCGCTGCTAGCTCGACTCACTTGATGTCGATATGCGCAGCTGACGTTTGCCACGCCGTTGGGGGTGAGAGTGGTCCTAGCTGCTAGTTGATGCGATAGGACTTACAGGGCTCAATGGGCTACGTCCCGAGTCCCTCAGACAACCAGTTAATGTTACAACCAACTTACGACTACCAGCATTATTTCGATGCTCGCACAGCCAAACACCCTGCCACGTACCCAGTGCTAGTTTACCATCGGTTATTGGAATGCTCAGGGATGAACCGAGAAAACAGGCCTTCACGTGGGCAGGCTGAAATTGAAATTATTTTCATCAGTGAAATCATTGAAAAAGTCAAAATTCAGGGATTTTAGCATTTCTTTAAATTTTTCGGACATGGGTAGTGGATGCTATTTCGTGGAGAGTGACATTGAAGTCGATTTAAGGATATTTATCCAAAATCGCAAGTACTTAAAATGATTTTTTTTCAACTGAGAAATGAAGATATTCCCTTCACTTTGATATAAATTTCAATCTGCCAACCCATGTTCATTATTTAGAAATTGAATGGACAAAATGCACCAAATGCATGCGTGAACATGCGCTTATATGGGATAGAATCATTCAAATATTTCCTCTTTTTGCCCAGAGTTTTCTCTGGCAATTGGATTCAGTATGATTTTACACATTACCTTCCATTTTTATTTCTATTTTTAGAGCCTTCTAGTAGGTCAATTCTCAATTTGAACATAAATTTCATAAGAGCCCATGTATAAGAAAAAATTAGTTTATTCATTTCTGCCGAGACTATTACGATTAATTTTGTTTTAACGTTAGAAAAGTTAGTTTTATATGTTCTGCTGTCAGCCGAAAAAATTACAGAATTTTCCTTGACCATGAAAAAAAACATATTTACCGACAATTTACCGACACTGGCTAAACACCCTGAAGGATTTTTAGAGTGGAAAATTCATTATTTATCAGTCATCCAATTTGTCAATTAAATTTCGTGAGAAAATTTGAAATAAAATTATGAATATTCAGAATTATCATTTTTTTAAACATTCGTTGTTTGTAAATAAACAATTGAGATTGTTTAAACTTTCGTGAATTTTATTTCTTCAGGAATGAAATCGATTTCTCGTATTATTCTGAATGTTAATAATAAATTCGTGACGATTCAAAAAATATAGAACATTCCAAAACAATTTATGGGACAGAATTTCCAACAAAAATTTCTCATAAAACCAGCAAAATCATCTCTCGTACCATGTCATCAGGGCCTTCGCAGCTGTGTCTGTACGGCATGTCCTCAGGGATGATCTTATTCAGCATCATCTCCATGTCGTCCCTGACATCAGGATCCCAGCTCTCGTTCAACGCCAGGCTCGCTGACGTGTGGAGAACTGCAACATGACCAGAATCATAACCATCAAATTCTCCATTGCCACCAGAAACTCTTGAAGCTAAACCTATTCTCTTGAAGCTAAACCTAAATCTCCAATACCTCCTATCCAAATGATCCAATTCGAAAAAATTAAATTTCATTTTAAATCCACAAAAATTCCCCTCGAAATGAAACAAAAAATGTGGAATTTCACTCAGGCAAATCCCAGATATTCAAGATTGAAACCAGCGTATTCCCCCAATTGTCACAATTAGTGTCATCAAACCTAATCTCCAATACCTCCCATTCAAATGATCCAATTCCAAAAAATTAAATTTCATTTTAAACCCAGAAAAATATCCTCTAAAATAAAAAAAAAACGTGAAATTCCACTCAGCCAATCTCGTGATATTAACGATGAAAATGTCTATCCAACCCAACCACTAAATTCATGTTTTTCGAATAACCCTCCTTAATCCCCTATATCTCCCACCAAAACGATCCAATTCTAAAAAATCAAATTCCATTTCAAACCCAGAAAAACTCCCCTCAAAATGCGAAAAAAATCATGGGATTTTACTAAGCCAAACCCCAGATATTCCCGATTGAAACCAGTGCATTCCCCCAATTGTGATAATTGGTGTCATCAAACCCCTCAAGGCCACACCAATTCCCCCATCCACCGAGCCTCAAAACCCCCACCAAACCCATAAACCAAACATTCCTTACTCTGTATGTGACACAATCCAACCGAGAACTGCAGCAATTCGGGCACCTGCCTGAGTATTTCCTCAGTGACAAGGTGAACGCCCCGATGCTGCGGCCTGAGGTTGATCTTCCTTTGGAACCAGGCATTGCCAATTTGTATCCCCATATTCGAGGCCATTCTCCCCCCCAATAATCACCACTTTATCAGCCACAAAAAGTCGAGAAATCCAACAAGTCACCACACAATGACACTATTGCCGTAAGAGTCACCTGATGATCAACGAGTCATCAATGAATCAAGATTTATCGGAGTGTTCAGCATTCCCCATTGGGCGGCACCGGGGAGGGTTCCCGTTGATGCCCATTCAGAACCTCGTGGACACGTACCAATTGCTACGAGACCCTCAAAACCACTGATTCCATCTTCAGGTGATTAATTAATTTTTCAGAGGATTTTTACTCCTTTTTTTCCGGTCTTTTCACCCGATTCTTTGGGCTTTCTGAACTGTCTCGACGGCTTTTTCGGACTCTAGGGGTGACAGGGACACTCAGGGGTGGTCAGAGGATATTTTGTGATCACAGGTAACCTATAGTACCTTGACTTCAGCCTCGGCGCGACCGATTATCGAGGCGAAAAGGTTAGGGGAGATAACGATTTACGGGGGTTTAACACATCACTGATGACGGAATCAGTTTCCGGGATTTTTCACGAGGTTTTGGACACTTTGGGGCGGCTTCCGGGGGGCCAACGGGGGTTGGGGACCGGCTGAGGGCCCACACGAGTAGCTAAGGTCCAGTTGCGATCGTTTTTGGAATTGTCACGGCTTGAGTTTTTTTTTGGGTTCGGTTTTCGTCGAGGGAGGGTGTGGGTGGGGGCTTGCGGGGTGGTTCTCATGTGGGGTGGAAGAGGATTGGCGCAGGGTTTGCGCGGGAGGTTTGAAGTTGAGGGGTGGAGCGAGCGCACTTGTAGTTTTTTTCGGTTTTTCGGGTAGTTGATTTGACTCGAGATTTCATTAGGCTAGTTTCAATATCAGTAGCGAAGTGGTAAAACCGTATAAATCAATTTTGGCTATTGACCAGTCTTCAATAAATATCTCGGAATCTAAGGGAGATAGCAAATTTTTGTTATAACCTTTTTTGTAGAGCCGATTGAGAGCTGCAACAAATGTAATGACGAAAATTTCGCTATCTCCGTTAGATTCGGAAATATTCCTCAAAAACTCAACTGGGAGATAAGTCGACTGAAACCGGTTTACCACTTCGCTACTGAATTCAGCTTTTTACTTTTAGGGGAATTGAGATTTAATTCAGGCAGTTTTAATTCAATTTTTTATTTTTAGAGAAAATGAGGGGCAACGACACTTGGACTCCCCCTCACTGGTAGATTTTTTTTTGGTGATGTAGTTTTTATTTTAGATTAGAGCGTTTTTGGTTTTTTTTTATCTTGGGAATTTGAGAAGATTGAATTTTTCATGTTGGGAGAATTTTTTTTGCGCGGTAAATTCTCAGCCAAAAGGGGATGGAAAAATTTGGAGTCTTGGAGAATTTGTTCATTTTTTGAAAAACGGATGAAGCCAGTTGGGGGTGATTTGAGGGGGAAAATAATTCATAAGACATGTTTGAAAACCCGAGGTGGAGACGCCGCCATCTTTCAAGGGTCTTCGGCAGAGGGGGGGGGGGTATCCAAGCAAGATAGCGGTGCCTACGCGGACCAACCACCTCGGATTTTTAAACATTTCTTAAAATTATTTAGCATTTTGAAATCAACATCGAATCGTTCCGTCCCGTTTCTAAAAAATGAACAAATTTTTCAAGCCATCCTTCAGATTTTTCCATCCCCTCTTAGCGGAGAATTCATGGCGCCAAATTTTCAGTTTCCTGTATTTCAGTAGTTTTTTTTTACTCTGAAGACCTCTCATGGAGTAAATCTTTTGGGTAAATTCGTTGAACCAAAAAACTACTGATTTTCAACCAAAAAAGGGAGGAGGGAATGCGAAAGATAGTTTTAAAAAATTGTTCATTTTATAGAACCTGGATGGAGTGAGTTGAGGGTGATCTGAGTGGGAAAATAATTCATCAGAAATCTTTGAGAATCCGAGGTGGAGGCGTCGCCATCTTTAAAGGTCCTTCGGCAGAGGGAGGGATATCCAAACAAGATGGCGGTGCCCACGCGGATCAAACACCTCGTATTTTCAAACATTTCTTAAAATTATTTAGCCATTTCAAATCAACTTCAAATCGTTTCCTCCAGTTTCTAAAAAAATGAACAAATTTTTCAAGCCATCCTCCAGATTTTTTCATCTCCTTTTGGCTGAGAATTCATGGGGCTAAATTTCCTTCTTTCAAAGCCCTCTGAATGATGTTTTTTAAAGTGAGAGAATTTTGGTTTTCAAAAGTCGTGAGGAGGTGGGGGGAGAACATTTTAATGAATAGGAAAACTTGTTTATTCAAAATATCTAATCAAAAGTGCATAATCAATTATTACATTCAGCATTTCAAATTCTCTTTATTGTGAACACCAAACTTCGATACAATCGAAAAACCCAAAATTGTTACATTAATGTCTACAGTAATTTTACCTTCTAATTACCAACATCACTAAATCATTCGTCAAATACATGAATTCATTGCTCTTCAATTGTAGACAGATCTCCTTGTACTTCTTTTTTTTTTTGAAAAATAGTAAAAAAATACTGGGTAATACTGGAGTTTGATATTGCGTGTAGAAGAATTGATCGAGAGTATTTGGTCCTTCATTCATTTTTTATCACCACTTCCATCATCTCACGAAAATATAGTGCTCTATGGTGTATATAAATATACTTTATTACTGTTACATCAATTCATGGCAAATTCATCGAAATAACTAGAAAGAAAATTTTTTCAACAAAATTTCAAACGACAAATCATTATCTACTGTTAATTAATCAATTCATTAATTATTCAATTTATAATCAATCCAAATTGTAGTTTTAATTTTCAATTCTCAGATTAATCTATCTAGGTATAACTAAATAGAATGCACTACATTTATGTCATTGAGTGGAATAGTCCCAATTTTAGATTTTTCAATTTTTTTCTTATCATTTTTAAAAAATTTTTCCCTGAAAAAAATTTTCTTTGACATCTGATAATTAGCAGACGTAGAAACCAAAGTTGAATGTAAAATTAATTAAGAGTATTTTTTGATCCTTCAATTATCATTAACGAAACAGGAAGAATTTTTAATCCAAACGTCAGAAAATTCAAACAAAAAATCTTTTAACATTTTTCTCTGCAACCACTCATCGAAATAATTTCAGAATTCGTAGACAATTAGCCTTTTCTAATCTTCGAGTTATTTAAAAAAACAAGCATTTCATTTTGAAGCAAAATGTCAAAAAATATTCTTGTAGATCAGGCAATAAAAAAAATCTCTTTTGAATGTTTCTCTACAACCACTAATTATCGAGAATAACTTCCTAATAAGCCAGATTAAAAAAAGCCATTGATTCCAAGAAATCCCCTTTCCTTAAGCCTCTCTTCTCCCCAAAATCCCCAACAATCTCCCCCCCCC